CCTCTAGGGAAGCGCGACCTGATCATCAGGTTTCTCAGAGGGGCAAGGAGGCTGAATCCTCCGCCCCCTCACCTGTTACCCTCTTGGGATCTCCCCTCGGTCCTAACGGCCCTGAAGGAGGAGCCCTTCGAGCCTCTGCAGTCAGTAGAGCTTAAGTTTCTGTCGTTAAAGACAGCGCTCCTCACTGCATTGGCCTCGGTCAAGAGGGTAGGGGACCTGCAGGCATTTTTTCGGTCGACGATTCGTGCCTAGAATTCAGAACAGGTAACTCTCACGTTGTCTTGAGACCCCGGTCTGGATATGTGCCCAAGGTTCCCACCACGCCTTTTAGGGATCAGGTGGTGAACTTGGTGTAGTTGAGAATGAATAGTTTCATGTGTTCTCAGGTGTTCCTGACAAACTCTGCCAACGTGTTCCTGTTGGAGCCGTGTCAGGATGTGCCCAAGCTGTTGGAGAACCAGCTAGATGTGTGCCGAGCTGTGCTCAGCGTCTACCGTCACATTATTATGGAGCAAAACATGAACCGCCCGACCTGGTCAGTCACACACGACATAACACTGAATCTGTATAGAGCTCTGTTCTGGTTTACCAACATTCAGCTTATTGTGTGCGTCATATTATTTTAGGGAGCAGTTGCTGCAGGTGTTGCTGAGGATCACAGAAGCAGTGATGAAGAGACCACAGGAGAACCAAAGAAAAGACACATTCGCCCACAACCTGGCCAGCATCCTCTTCAAAGTGAGTACAACATGGACAACCCATGGCTTCATACACACCACAGGGTTTTTCCAGGCTCAAAATGAGGCAGAGGTGGTACCATCCTGATCATGTGCACACATACCATACTGTACCTTCAACTGGCTGATGCAAACACTATCTACAAGCAACATATTAGGGGTTCTAATTATTAGATGGTCGAAGAAAAATTACAATTATCAAGTTCAAGCATATTCTACAAAAAGCTAACCTGTTGAACATTAATTATACCAGGGTGTTAGCAGGTCCTTAAAACGTCTTAAATGACGTTTTTCTAATAAAAGGCCTTAAAAAGTCTTAAAATGTCTTAAATTCAGATTAAATATTTTTGGTCACATTACCGCTAAAATATATTTTTCAGTCTGACGGACCTAATGACTGTTTACAATCATTGGACAGACCGAATATTTGTTTTTCTTCCCCCGCGGTATTACTGCGTCATCAGACAGAATTGCAGTAGTGGAATACAGGTTGAACTACCTTCTTAGTTTATGTAATGTTCTCAATAATAATAACTATTATTATTATATAGGTCGAGCTACAGCTAGCTGACCAGCCTTCTAGCTAGTTTAAAATGTTTTTTTTTTGTTTTGTTTTTTACTTACCCGACCGGACAAATAGCCTGACTAAAATTTAAGTGACAAAAAAATAACCAGCGAACCATCGGAACGCGATAATGATTCTTCTGATTTTATTACATTCAGCGTAAACAGTGATTGATAATGGATAGTGTAGGCTATTTCTGGTATTAAGGTCGAGCTGTTGAGGCTCGCGATGCCTGTCTCTTTGTGAGAGACTTCAAAACAAATGAGCGTAACAGCACACAAGAGAAACTCAGAAGAAACACACTGAGGTAAAAATTCAAAATGTTTAGTTTATTCATAACATGATATAGTTAAGTAACACCTTGACAAGGGAGCTATTTTCCTGAATATTTTCACGATTGCAAATGTCACATTGATTTTATTTCAATAAACAAGTAAAGTAGTCTGGTAGTCATTAAGTTACTTACATTTTAGACACAATGTTTACTGTTTTTGTTCTATTTCTACAACGAAAAAAGTTCCAAACAAAGATCACAGCAGAAATATTAAACATTCTCCAAGCAACACTCGGCGGTGTTTTGTTACTGAATGATTCAGCGTTTTGACCCACTCATTAAAGGGGTCATATGATGCAATTACATTTTTTTCTTTCTCTTTGGAGTGTTACAAGCTCTTGGTGCATAAAGACGATCTGTAAAGTTGCAAAGACTAAAGTCTCAAATCCAAAGAGATATTGTTTATAAAAGTTAAGAGTTAACCACGCCTACCTAAAACGGCTCGCTCTAACACGCCCCCACATGTCTACATCACTATGTGGGAAGATTTGCATAACGCCGCCCAAATGTTCACGCAAAGAAAGAAGGCGTAACGTTTATTCTCGCTGTAGTATTGTTGTTGCCGCCATGTCGTGAAGGCGCTGTGTGTTTGTCATTTCTCCGATCACAAATGCAGACAGGGTTTTATGTTTACGCGGCGCGATGCAACGAAACGCGTAAAAGGACAGTATGAGTCATTATAATCCGTAATTATGTCCCCACTGGATGCAACAAATGCCTCGTTTATAATGGGTTTTAATGTTTTTGTCTCGTCATTCCGGCCGGGACACGGCATCATCACAGTATGGTGAGGGGCGTAAACATTTCTGTCACACGCTTGAGGTATTCGGCCAATCACAACGCACTGGATAGCTGGCCAATCACAGCACACCTCGCTTTTCAGACCGATGAGCTTTGTAAAAATCGACGTGTTTCAGAAAGGCGGGGCATAGAGGAGAAAGAATAATGTACAGTATGTTGAAAAAAAACAACATTTTTTTTTACCTTAAACCGCGTAAACACATTTCAATACACCAAATACACCAAATAAATTTATTTTTAGCAACATCATATGACCCCTTTAAGTGACTTACCGCCACCTACTGGTGGTTTAGTATGTTTAAAAGTATGCATTTCCCCCACCAACATTTCTTATTTGTACATCCAAAAATGTATTTAAAACATTAATCTCATAACATTATTTATTGCTGTTGTAATTTTGCAGTGTAAACAACATTTCTTCATTTGCATTTCTTATTTGTATATCCCAAAAAAAATGTAAAACATTAATCTCATAACATTTTTTATTGCTGTTGTAATTTTGCAGTGTAACTTATTTAATCTGACTGGTAACAGCCCTATAATGTATATTTAATTTATTGATCACTTGTAATAATTTGACATGAAAGATGATGCATACATTTAAAAAGGTTGGAAAAGGTCTTTGTAAAGGTAAATAAAAATATGCAGATTTAAGTATGTAAAAGCTGATAGAACACTGAAGATATTGCTTCGGATTAAATTGTTTACACCACCAAAAATCTTGGTGATGCAGTACATTTGTGGGGATATTTTGTATGGAATATCATCTGCTCATATGAAAAGTTCACAGTATATCATAGTTATAAATATAATTTATGACAGTGATGATATTTTGTTTTCTTTTTACATTAAACACATTAAATATTACATATATGTATGTAATATAATGTGCATTTCCATTACAGGATTGGGTCTTAAATGTCATATAAGGTGATATTAAAAAGGTCTTAAAAAGTCTTAAATGTAACTTGTTCATATCTGCAGAAACCCTGTATACACAACATAACAGCTAAACGAGGCCCTTTTGCAGTGTAGTACAACATATACAAACATAAACATTAAAGCCATTTTTATCTACACAGTGCACAACCAGAGGCAGGTTTCAGCCTCCTATTTTTCATTTTATAAAACCTATTCATCCAGTCTTTTATAGTACAATGCCACCTTGGCCTACATCACTTTGATCCCAATATACATTTATCTATTTTTTATAAAGAGTCTTTCTAGAAAACAAACATTTTCTTATACAGTAGGGTAAGAGATGCATTAGAGCTACAATCATCATCATGATACATAAAACAATTGAATAAGCTTAATACTACACTTTTACACAAAACACAATTTAAACCATCATCAAGTGTTTGTAATAAGTTACGATTGCCATCTAATGTGGATTTTGGTCATATAATTTTGCTGAATTATTTTTTGTAGCCTTTTATATCAAGCTAATCGCTACACCTGCTTAGCATTTCTCATGTAAACACATGTATTCAGGATCAAATAAAGATGAGCGTTAACCACGGCCTACAAATCCACGATGTTTACATCTACATTAAAGGGTTAGTTCACCCAAAAATGAAAATTAGGCTGTGTTTTACTCACCCCAGAGCCATCCTAGGTGTATATGACTTTCTTCTTTCAGACGAATCCAGTCGTAGTTTTATTAAAAATTGTCCTGACTATTCCAAGCTCTTTCATTGCAGTCAGAGGGTGTTGCATTGCTTTAGTCCAAAAGAAGTGAAATAAAAAGCGCCCATCCATAATAAAAAGTGTCTCACACGGCTCCGGGGGGTGAACAAAGGCCTCCTGTAGCGAATCGATGCGTTTTTGTAAGACAAATATCCATATTCAAAACATAATAATCACTTTATCTTGAAAAATCTTACCAGTCCCAAACTTTTAAACAGTAGTGTATGTCCTTTTACATTCACTTTAATGAAGTAATTTTGGTGTTTACAATCATATGATCCACGCTGCTAATTCTTTGCCAAGAGCTTAAGTAATGTACTGTATTAAGACCATCAATGCTCTTGTGTGCCCAAGAACTATCACAAATATTTCTGTATAATAAAATCCATGTATTTTGCTGTAATAGAATAAATTATTTTATTATGGCTAAATTGATTTGAAGAATGACTTTTAATGCTAGAACATGAAGCTAACATTCTTCAATTTCTGTCTTTGTATAAGGTCTTTGTTTAATTTTTATAAAACTCTCTAATGCCAGTAGAATGTTTTACCTTGTCTAAATTTTTATCGTCATTGTTGCGTATGATGATGTAGTTGATATGGCTTGATGTGGTGGAATTGTGTTCTGCTGTCACTTGCAGACGATCTTCGTGGCGTGGGTGCGGTCTAACCTGACCGTCTTTATCTCTCGTGAGCTGTGGGACGAGCTGCTGGTTGTGCTGTCCTCTCTCAGTCACTGGGAGGAGCTGGTGTTCGAGTGGGCCAGCATCATGGACTCTCTCACCGCAGTACTGGCCCGTCACGTCTACAGCCTGGACCTCCACAACCTACCGCTGGACAAGCTCTCAGAGCAGAAGGAAAAGAAGCAGCGGGGCAGGGGTGTGTGTAAATTACATGAAATGAATAAGGCGTGTACGATGTAGATTGATATGTTTCCGACTTTTGACTTGGGGTAGACTTTTCAAATAATGCAGTCAAGTCCTTCACTTGAGTAACTGATTACTCTAAAATTCAAATTAACTAAAAATAAGCATGATGTTTGCAAAATGTATATTTTGATTTACGCACAAATAATAAATGGAAAAATAAACATTAATAATGCATTAATTAGAGCCATGCATTCTGAGATGCATTAGAGCTACAATCATCATCATGATACATAAAACAATTGAATAAGCTTAATACTACACTTTTACACAAAACACAATTTAAACCATCATCAAGTGTTTGTAATAAGTTACGATTGCCATCTAATGTGGATTTTGGTCATATAATTTTGCTGAATTATTTTTTGTAGCCTTTTATATCAAGCTAATCGCTACACCTGCTTAGCATTTCTCATGTAAACACATGTATTCAGGATCAAATAAAGATGAGCGTTAACCACGGCCTACAAATCCACGATGTTTACATCTACATTAAAGGGTTAGTTCACCCAAAAATGAAAATTAGGCTGTGTTTTACTCACCCCAGAGCCATCCTAGGTGTATATGACTTTCTTCTTTCAGACGAATCCAGTCGTAGTTTTATTAAAAATTGTCCTGACTATTCCAAGCTCTTTCATTGCAGTCAGAGGGTGTTGCATTGCTTTAGTCCAAAAGAAGTGAAATAAAAAGCGCCCATCCATAATAAAAAGTGTCTCACACGGCTCCGGGGGGTGAACAAAGGCCTCCTGTAGCGAATCGATGCGTTTTTGTAAGACAAATATCCATATTCAAAACATAATAATCACTTTATCTTGAAAAATCTTACCAGTCCCAAACTTTTAAACAGTAGTGTATGTCCTTTTACATTCACTTTAATGAAGTAATTTTGGTGTTTACAATCATATGATCCACGCTACTAATTCTTTGCCAAGAGCTTAAGTAATGTACTGTATTAAGACCATCAATGCTCTTGTGTGCCCAAGAACTATCACAAATATTTCTGTATAATAAAATCCATGTATTTTGCTGTAATAGAATAAATTATTTTATTATGGCTAAATTGATTTGAAGAATGACTTTTAATGCTAGAACATGAAGCTAACATTCTTCAATTTCTGTCTTTGTATAAGGTCTTTGTTTAATTTTTATAAAACTCTCTAATGCCAGTAGAATGTTTTACCTTGTCTACATTTTTATCGTCATTGTTGTGTATGATGATGTAGTTGATATGGCTTGATGTGGTGGAATTGTGTTCTGCTGTCACTTGCAGACGATCTTCGTGGCGTGGGTGCGGTCTAACCTGACCGTCTTTATCTCTCGTGAGCTGTGGGACGAGCTGCTGGTTGTGCTGTCCTCTCTCAGTCACTGGGAGGAGCTGGTGTTCGAGTGGGCCAGCATCATGGACTCTCTCACCGCAGTACTGGCCCGTCACGTCTACAGCCTGGACCTCCACAACCTACCGCTGGACAAGCTCTCAGAGCAGAAGGAAAAGAAGCAGCGGGGCAGGGGTGTGTGTAAATTACATGAAATGAATAAGGCGTGTACGATGTAGATTGATATGTTTCCGACTTTTGACTTGGGGTAGACTTTTCAAATAATGCAGTCAAGTCCTTCACTTGAGTAACTGATTACTCTAAAATTCAAATTAACTAAAAATAAGCATGATGTTTGCAAAATGTATATTTTGATTTACGCACAAATAATAAATGGAAAAATAAACATTAATAATGCATTAATTAGAGCCATGCATTCTTAAAAGTGTGCATAAAGGCTATCATATTTTGATGTTCTCATTAAAAAATAAGCAGTATGTCAGCTTGATAGAAAATGTACTTCAGTTGAACTCACAACTGAACCGCAGCTAACTCTAAAGAAAATATATCATGGTTTTCCATGTTTTCAACAAGTGTTTTCAAAATTGATAATAATCAGAAATATTTATTGAGCAGCAAATCAGCATACTAGAATGATTTCTGAAGATCATGTGACACTGAAGACTGGAGCAATGATGGTGAAAATTCAGCTTTGATCACAGGAATAAATTACATTCTAAAATATTTTTCCTTTAATATTGATCAAATAAATGCAGCCTTGTTTGAGCATAAACGACTTATGCTCTCAAAAACATTACCAAATATTACTGAGCACATACTTTTGAATGATAGTGCATAACATGTCGAACCATATAACATGCAGTGCAGTGTAGTTTATATGATTAAATTACTCTTCAGGTTAAGTTAACTCCTGGTGCAGTAGTGTATTTATAAAAAATAAAAGTCATACAGAAAGTCATACAGTGACTGTGTGAAACGGCAGACTTGACTTGCATGCGTACATGCTTTTATGGTGAAATTGCTAGTTTTATGAATTAACCCCAAGTTTATTGACCAAAAACAATACACAGTCACTTTCTTTTGGGTAATAAACTAATCTTAATTTTCACTATATTTCCCCCCCTATATTGAATGTCAGATCATGAAAGAATAAAAATGGAACACTGCTCTGACATGTTGGCTTTGCATATAAAGTAACACCTTCGGATTTCTCTGAACATTAAAAACTCATTTGCGGAAATAATTCAGATATCTGGAGTTTGAATCAGAGACAGGTACAGTAATACTAATAGTAATCTTGTGTGTGTGTGTGTGTTTCAGGAGTGATGCAGGACTCCCAGAAGGCTACAGATGTACCGCGGTCGTTCTCCTTGAGCTGGAGGAGCTCTGGAGACCAGGTGGGCTCTCAGGAGCCCATGAGGTTCCGCAGTGCCACCACCACTGGAGCTCCCGCTGTGGAGAAAGCTCGCAACAACGTCAGGCAGAAAGCATCAGGTTAGAGCTAATCTGCAGGACTTAGTCTGTCAGATGTCTGCAGGGTGGTTTGCTTACAACTTGTTTGTTTTATTTGCATAATTCCAAACATATTTGACTGAAGATGTAGGGCTTTATTAAATCCATTTGATTATTTCCCAATTTGCGTTTCATTTTTTCCCTAATAATTTTTTGTTTGTTTGTTTCCCCCATTTTATTTTTTCTGAATCCTGTTTTGATTGTTAAATAATCAAAAGACATGTCTAAAATTTAATATGAATTCAGAATTTAATCAAATATATATATATATATATATATATATATATAAATTATTATTTTTTTTTTCCTTCAGACATTTCGTGTTGTCTGTTTATGATTTAATACAAATTAATTATCAATAGCTATGGTAATCAAATTAAGGCATCAAACTTTTTTTTAAACATAAAACTGCTTTTTTTTCGGTCTTGTAAAGTGTTGCACAACAGAGTTTTACTGTTAAAATTGAAACATGGAGGAAAATGTTTGATATTCCGTAAAAATTTAAGTTTTAATAATTTTTTTTTCAATACTTTGAGAAGTGTACTGTACAATACTAATGTATTTCTGTCACAATTGCTTCAAGCTTGAATATGTGTTGTAGATAAACTGTGGCTAAACTGTTCTACTTCACACTGAGACACGCAGAACATGCAGACTTCATATATGTGACCCTGGACAACAAAACCAGTCTTAAGTGTCATTTTTTCAAAATTGAGTTTTATACATCACCTGAAAGCTGAATAAATAATCTTTCCATTGATGTATGGTTTGTTAGGATCGGACAATATTTGGCCGAGATACAACTATTTGAAATTCTGGAATCTGAGGGTGCAAAAATATTTTAATATTGAGAAAATCGCCTTTAAAGTTGTCCAAATGAAGTTCTTAGCAATGTATATTACTAATAAAAAATTTAGTTTTAATATATTTACAGTAGGAAATTTACAAAATATCTTCATGGAACATGATCTTAATATCCTAATGATTTTTGGCATAAAAGAAAAATCTATAATTTTGACCCATACAATGTTTTTTTGGCTGTTGCTACAAATATACCCCAGCGACTTAAGACTGCTTTTGTGCTCCAGGGTCACATATCAGCAGTCTTTTTGCACTGTAATATTCACAGCCACTAGTTTACGTCACTGTTTGATTTAGTGTACAACTCTACTTTTGATTTATTCATCCAAAACTTGCCAAATTCCGTGACATTTCGCATTATGCTGTAAATTCCATTTTTATGACTCCACACTTCCATCCACGGGACAGAGTTGATGGATTTTTCTCTTGCTGTCACCATGTGTAGAACAAGTGAAACTGAAGCCACGTGATCCAGGACTAGTTGACCCACACAGACACACGTCAACTAGTCACTTCAGCTCCTGATTAGAGTAGAACTGTCTGTCAAACATGAATTTTCTGTCTCTTTGTTTCCTCACATGCGCAGAAATATTTTCCTTTTAATCTTGCTTGGTTTGGAGTTGATTGTATCTCTTTATGGTGGAGAGCTTGTTGAGTTTGGAGCAGATGCGTTTGAGCCTGAAGGATGCCTCTCGCACACGCCGCCCCCAGAAACATCCTCGATTGTGTGTGCGCACATGAAACGACGTGGCTTCAAATTCCCCTCTTTTCTTTTGCCTAATTGGATTTCTCCTACATTGATCTTCAAACAGCCCAGCGTCCTCCCCTCCTCGTTAGGAGAGCCGCCTCATCAAACTGCCTGCCTGTTTTTGATAGTTTCATTAAGAGCGTAATTAATGCTCATTAATATGCATAAATAGGTAACTCGGCGAAAGCGATGTAATCTAGAAAGAAAAGGCGGTAATTAAAGCGTGCCGTAGAGGGAATAATAGGGCCCTCCGCTTTCACGGCTCTTCTCCAGACGTGACATGGAGTGGCCAAAAAAACACAATGCTAATATTTTGTCTTATCAGAGCTGGCAGAGCAAACTTGAAATAATGTGCTTCATATTTCCTTCTCGGCGATTGAGTATCAAAGGATGCCATGAGCCGAACGAGAGCGCAGTTAGAAATCCTCAAAGTGTGTCCTCTGTTTGACTTCAGCTTATTTCTTGTAAAAATACCAATAAAAGCTCTTTACAGAACAAACACTTGCAGCATTCATTCAGGTTGCGCTTTGATGTGATGCCTTCATAAAGTCGTGAAACAGAATCTACATTTTAGTCTTGTGTGTTTGCGTTCACTGTTACTATTGCGCATACTTTGGCTTAGCCATTTCAACAACCCCTTGACCCTGAATGCTACATAGACATGTCTGATATATCACAGTGAAGAGGTATGTAGTGTTACTTTAAGCCACCAGACTTACAGGCCACTCGTGTAGAAGATTAATTCCATTTTGTTCTTTTTTTGCCTATTAGATAAAAGTTGTTCAACTGTTTTCTTGTATTTGTAGACTGTTGAATCGCTTGTGTCAGACGAAGCCGCCTTTCCACTGTCCCTGATGAAAGACAGACTGGAAGTCATTCATTTCCAGTGGAGAGTAGTACGGGAGTTGTGTCGAGTTCCGAGCATATGCATATTTGGGATTTTCTGATCCGATTTGAGCTTCGGTCGCATTGAAATATATGAAGTTTTACAGCCGTATGCAACTGCCTGAGCAGATGTGATGCAGTCTAATCAGAACTAAGAGCGTGAGGTGGGGATTTCTGGTGCTTTTGTGCTAAAAGGTTTATTTTTAAAGTCACCCTGAAATCAAAACTGACCGTTCTTATTTTTTTTAATGGAATATTGTAGTGCTGGGCGGTATACCGGTTCATACCGAATACCGGTGTTTATTTTAGTTATGATATACATTTTTTAAATACCGGTGTATGTCGCTTAAACAACGTTGGGAACGCGACACTGTTTGAAAGGGGTCTCTTTTCACTGTTGCACTGTGGTGAGGGAACAGCTGTATGTGTTACTAAGCGTGAAAGTTCAGAAACTGAAGCTGTAGAACTAATAGAACGTGATGACACAGAAGAACTCATCCACGATATCCACACTGACCGCCACAAATATCCAGCACCCCCTGCCATCAGCTCCCGCATCTCACACACACAAGCATGACTTTAGCACTAGATTTAGCAACTTTCAGACCCTTTTAGCGGCTTTTTTCCATAGAATATTCATACTGACAAACCTAGCGACTTTTTTTGGATAAACCTTAGCTATGGTTCAGTTGGAAGATTTCGCCAGTGCTGTCCCGCGAACGCGAGGTCTGACTTTCCCAGAGAAGTGTCGCCTCTCTCAGCGTCTGTTCTGTGCAGTGAGCGGCAGAGAACCACCGCAGCCGACTCCTCAATAAATGAGAACAAAACGTTTGCTTGGAAAGCGTTTCCAAGCACCTGCCGCTTACTGATTGTTTGTAATTATAAATATGAGCGTAGTTCGTCTGTTAATATCACATGCACTTTTTTGTTTGCTGTATTTTTAGTTTGTTACTCAGACGCAGACAGTGCGCTGCATGAGACAAAAAAGTAATATAGCCCAAACAACCGCATAGCCGCTCTTTAGTGTAGATGCATGTTGATTTTATCAGACGATGCCGTGATTATAAATGAGAGTGACTCCTGGTTAACATGTATTAAAAGGGAGCGTGTTTAGTCACAATTTAGTGTGGTATTTTTGGACAATATTCACTCATCATGACAGTAAAATAGGACATTCTAAGTCAATATACTGCAGTATTTCCTCTCAATCAGTAGAGAATATGGTTAACACCCGGTCATGCTTGAAAAAAAAATACCGTCATGTACCGTGAAACCGGTATAATTTAGAAAAATACCATGATATACATTTTTGGTCATACCGCCCAGCACTAGAATATTTTAGTGTTTACTATAAGTGATTTATCTGTGCACATTATCGTTATAATTATTTAAAGTTATGTGGCCATCTTTAATCAAAATAATAACATTTTAATTGAAATAACTTTCCTGTGAGTGTGGGTCAATACCCTTTCCCCTCCAGCAGCTTGTCACACACATTCAATTGCAGCAAGTAGCAAATGACAATGATCCAACAATCCGGTCAGTTCCCAATAGACAAAATCAAGTCCCACCCTACATTTTTCTTTTCTCTTTTTTTTTTTCATTTCCACAGATTAGGCCTAGAAAACCTACTGTGTTCTGTTTTTCAGATGTATTGGTGGTCATTTGTTTTCTGTGGATATATTCATACGTTCATTATTAATTTTACAGTGATGAATAAAAGGAGGGTAGTGAAAAGACTGCTTGTCGGACAACTAGCCATTTTTTTTTACTCTCATTTGGTTCTTTCGTGTGTTTGTTTTTGGACCGTTTTTTATGTTCGTGAATCGGGATGGAATATTTTCCATCATTCTTTTGCTTGAATCCCAATTCGATTTCAGTTTTAAAGTACATTATGGTAAAGTACATAAAAAAGAGAACACTCATTGGCAACCTCTTTTTTTGTTGTTACTGCAGGGTTGGGAACAACATGCTTTTCATTTAAAATTGAAGTGTGTCATTTTTGAGGATTTTAAAATACCGTCTCCTATTCCAGTTTAAAATGCAGAGACGTTTCTAAGTAAGGTGTTTTCAAGCCATCAATCTGAGCAGCCCCACACAGTAACATAAAGAGCTGCAGTGTTGATGTATTTTTGTAGGCCAAATAAGCCAGCATCACCCTGATGATTCCCTTCAAAAAACCAATAGGATTTTCCCTTGGCTTTTGGATTGCAGAAAATAAGCTCTGTGACCAACACAAGTTGATGATTCTTCCAGGTTTTGTTCATCAGAATAATCTTTACAAGTGCACACAACTTTTATGAATTCTGAAGCCTAAATATTGGCTCAGCCAGAGTGTGTGTTTGGTTGCACAGAAACGACACGCTTCACATTTAATAAACTGTCTTGCTATTATCACAGCTGTAGAATGCAATTGATCCTTTTTCCCGTCTCTCTCTCTCTCTCTCTCTGTCTGTCTGTCTCTCTCTCTCTCTCCCCTGCGCTCTCCTTCCCTGCTTCTGTGGGCAGCTAAGCGAAGTCAGTCTATCAGCAACTGTGTGCATCTTTGTGAGGCTTTGCCGGCCACTAAGAGTGTGCCCATGCTGCTCCACACTGTCAGCTCTTTCTTACCTGGTATCTCTCACAGACTCTCAGGTAACTTCCTGTTTCCTGTCTCTGTCACAAAACTTTCTTTTCCCGTTTTCTATCTTGCCGTCATCTGCTTTCATTTAAGATGTAGCATAGCCAGGAAAAAGGCAGATAATCCAGTGTATAAATGCTTTGTTTTTACAAGGATACTTCTATTTTCCTTTCACTCCAGACCGCCAGAGGAAGTGCAGAGAGCACTAATGGAAACACTCACTCACTTCATTTACGCTCCAAGAACTGACTTAAAGAGTGTCTCTATAAGCAAATGGAACATCTAGTTTTAACTTTAGTGTAGGGATGTTCATTTCGGTTATTTTTCCTAACCGGCAACCGACGCTCGTTAACCGATTAGTAACCGTTAACCGACAAGATTATTTTAAATGAGAAAAATACTAACATTTGTTTCCCGGGGATTCATTCTACATGCGCAAAAAGCAGCAAACAACATAATTTTTTTTTGATGATTCACATGGTCATCATGTCACATCACGCACCTGCAGCGCTTCTGCGAGCGGAGAAAAACATAATAAAGCTAGGCTATATATATATATAATGAATAAATATAGGCCTATACGAGAAATATATTGATACTTAAATAATCAATTAAGAAAATGAAAGAAAAACAAGTAGACTAGTAAGCAGAGTTTTGATTCACTTTTGTGCTGCGCGAAAGGAAACCAGACGGCAGAAAGCGCCATCCTGTTTTTATTTAGGCTTTTACAAAAGCACAAAGATTCGTTTTTATTGTGAATGTACACAAATAAAGGCAATCCTTTTACAATTCCCATTATCTTTATGACTAAAAGGAGTAGTTGTTTCCACTGTTAGAAGGAAAAAATTCAAGTGATTGCGCCGGTGACGCATGCGCGAACACACGCATTGTTAATTTGACAATACAACCTGTTCATTATCATAATAAAATACATTCAGTCAAACAAATAGAAAAAACACACTGCTCAGTTTAAATATGTAGTAAAGTCTGTGCGGTTAAGCGTTATCACAGTACCGCCATGATGTTATGCAAAACATTTTGTTTTACGTGGATATGGAACGCCAGTGAAGTAGGCTACATAAATAATAATTTGCTATGCAAATACATCGCGAATACGGAAACATTTGATTCTGTGTGGAATGAGAGCCCCAACGTTGATTTAAGTTTTGTTTTAGCCTAAATGAATTTGTTTTGGCTTGTCGTTTACATAGCTATAGCTTCTTATATTTTTAAAATCTTGTTCTTTTCTAAATACTGATAATTGAAAGGATTTGTTGAGGAGTGAGGGGGACTAATATAGCCTAGCTATGTTTACAGTGTTTATTATAATGTTTGTAAACATTTCGCGTCGGCATTAGGCCTATTTCTGAATGAAATAATAAAATGCGACTTATACGCGACTTATGTTTTTTTTTCTCTAAAAAACAAAAAACAAATGTATACGCGTAGCGTATTTGAACCACGCAGCAAACCTTTTAAAATATTTTAATAAATTACTGAAAAAATAAATAAATGACTTTTTAAACCGTTTAACTGATTGTATTAATCTATCAAAATTCTTACGGTCGGTTAACGGTTAACCGGTTAAAATGAACATCCCTACTTTAGTGTGTTTGCAGGAGTATGCAAACTTTGTAGACAACCAATGAGATTGAAACCCTCACAGACTAAATGGAAAGCCGCAATTAATAAAATGCAGCTGTATAAATGCACTATATATCCTCTTTTATTCGATTCTCTATCATCATGCAAATACAAAAGGTGATTTCCATTAGTGCGCTCCACTTGATTATTGAACCACAGTTTATGATCAGGTTTTCAGCATGCATGTTTGCCCTGTTAGTATGAAAATGCTAAATAAGTAGAGGGCCCATCAATAGAAAGTGTTTCTTGTGAGTTCTGATAAGCATGGTGATCGTGTCAGGTGCTGCATTGGTGACGGTGTGTGTGTTCGTCCTCTAGATGTGGAGGAGTGTCAGCTGTCTGAATGTGAGATGGGGGATGGAGACAGTCCTCTGCCCCGCAGCAGTAGCACCTCTGACATCACACAGCAGATCACCGACACCTTCCCAGGTACCCACACAATCACACACATTACACACACTCATAGACTCATGACTGTAGGGCTTTAGAAATGAATGTTTTTGGTGAAGAGTACTTTTTACATACAGTAGAGGATGTGTTTAAAATGATGTAGAATCACATGAATCTCCAGTCACTTCATCAGTAGTTTAAGAAAAACAAAAGACAGTAGAATTAGGGAACTGATTTTTACAGCCCAAAATTGCTTTTCTGAAAGAAAACCAAAACAGCATGTTGTATTTGCAACATTTATTTATATTTGAGTTGCACTACTAATAATCATCATATGCTTGGAGACACTATGAGGACAATTATCTGTAAATATGTTTGACACCAACATATATTTGTCTGATTTGCTGAAAATACAGAATTGTGTTAGACACAGACGTCACTCATAACATACTGTACATCTACAGTTTTTGACTGTTATGATGTTGTGTGTTGTGGTAATTGTTTTTGTGATTTAGTATAGTGATTCTATTCATCTATTTGAGTTGCACTACTAATAATCATCATATGCTTGGAGACACTATGAGGACAATTATCTGTAAATATGTTTGACACCAACATATATTTGTCTGATTTGCTGAAAATACAGAATTGTGTTAGACACAGACGTCACTCATAACATACTGTACATCTACAGTTTTTGACTGTTATGATGTTGTGGTAATTGTTTTTGTGATTTAGTATAGTGATTCTATTCATTTGAATTATTATAGGTAGATACCTTCAAAAATAATGCACTTGTTTAAATCTACTGGCGAAATCAGATGTTAGGAGGACTACTAAATATTTGCCCCAGTGCATTATTAGACTAACTCTATATATAAAATGAAGAGCTGCGTTTTTTTTCTCTCTCCTGTGACCACATTTAACAAAATGAAGTATTTTTAGCATTGGCACTAAAATGGAACTAAAACCTTTTTTTATTGTTAGCACTAAGACAGTATAACTATTGTAATGCGACTGCACTATAAAACAAATGTAAATGTCAAAATTATTATTTTGTGACAAGTATATAAATTCACTTTCAAGAGCTTTTGTTTGTGTGGACAACTGCAGTTTCTATGAAAGCAGGTTTACAAATCGCTTTGAAATGCAGATAGACTGTATGCTTATTTAAATCAATCTCAGCCTTCTGCGAATTGCACTGAGCCATATTGCGATGCTTTGCCAAAGCAGTGGCGCAAAGCACAATGTTTTTGTGAACTTTTGTATTGAGAAGGGAGGGACAGATAAGACTGTGGAGGGCCACATCTGTATTGTTATTAGTGATACTGATGTTTATTCATAGTACTTAGCAAAAAGATGCCATTAAACAAATAACATGAACATATATGCAGTGGATTGTAGCAACTTAAACTAAGAATTAGTCTGCTGTAGACTTGCTTGAAGGAATTAGCTTGAAGTAGCATGATTTCTGATATGTGGGCTACTGGTATGAAACACAGGTCAGAAGAGAGATGAGTCTGTGTCAGAGAGCAGCTCTACAGGGAAAAGAGAGAGCGATGCACCCACGGTCAGTAACATTGCATTGCCTTTGATTCAGTAAATGATTCTTCACATGCTAACTGTATTGGAGTTTTGTGGATATTCTCAGATTCTGATCCGGCGGAGCAGCAGTCCAGCGGATCTGGATTATCCAGCAGACGGAGCTCCAGCATTCCTGAAGATTAAACTACGGGAGAAAAGTGAGCTCTGTCCAACGATCACTCCTGGCATCTTTCACAGTTTTTTTTTACAGAGATATTGTTTATCTTTCTTTCTTGTATTCTTTTTTGTCTATCAATCAAAAGATATCTATCTATATATCATCTATGTGTCCATCTATCTATCCCCCGAATAAGAGCCCTCAAAATGTTGTAACTGGCCATTTAGAATCAAGCATTTCAGAGAGCCGTGTAATAAATATTAATGTCAGTATAACCTCTCTTCTGTCAGGTGAGAGTGTGAGCAGTGAGACGTCTAATGGTTATCTGAACGATGCTGAGGCGGGTCTGCTGGCGTGGCACGCGGTCGAGGAGGAGCCGGACTCTCCCTCTACACATGACATGAGCATGAGCGCTACCATGGATACAGTGAGCCAGAGGAGCCTCCTGCTCAGCCACACTGAAGCACTGGCAGGTACCAGAAATCAACACAGCTCATCCCCTCTGAACTCTGATCCTACCCAACATTCATGTGTCCCATCTGTGTCAACCCAAAGCAGCAAGTGCTGTCACATGACTCTGTGTTTGAAAGCTGTGGTGTTCTTGATGTTCTTGTTATTGTTGCCCGTTACTTCGGTCTCAGTATTTAGAATGAAGATGAAAGCAGAACGCCATATGATGTAAGGAATAGTCCGGGCTAAATACAGCAGCATCTGTGGGATTTTGTCATTGATTTCCAGTTTGGAAAAAATGTAACACACTTGCACTGGAAGTCTGTAAGGTGATTGTACAGCACCAGAATAAACATTACAAATAGACAATTCATCACACTTTATTGAAACTTAAACATTATACATATTAGCATGAGATTAACGTGAATGGTTTATAAATGTACATTTTTCTATGGCTAACTACGATGATTACAGAGTGGGTTGGCTGATGGCCGATAAAACACCTTATATACATGTCATATAGGCGCATAAAAGATAAATGAAAAGAAATTGTGCACAGTATTTGTTAGCAGTTTATTATCCATAGACTAGGTTACCACCAGTGCTGTCAGTAGATGAATTTAACCCAGAACATTCCTTTTAAATCAGTGGTTCTCAACCAGGAGCCCGAAGCCCACTAATGTCCAAGGGGAGTCAGGGTGATACAAATAATGTAAAAAAGGAAAAGGGTATCCTGAAAATAAGCTAAAACAGCAACAACAAAATGAAGCTAGTTCTTATTTTAATTCATCCTGTCAGCAACTTTTAATTTCCAATTGCCTTGGAAAACCTGGATATAGTGACATTTTTTATAATGACTATACATTCATTGGATTAAAATTGTGTGTAGAAAAAAAGTATTACGTTTATAAGATACATAACTGTGGGAGACAGTAAAAACAAGTTCATGCAAAGTCCCAAACTAATTAAAATTCTGTAATAATCTTTTTTGTATGCATTTTTACATTTTATTATTTTTTGTTGAATTTATGATTTAAAAAAGAGACCGCAGAGTGTGACGTAATATCATGACCCGTTGCAGTGTCCAAAGAAATATTGCATGATTGAAGTTTAGTGTGACCGCCGCTTTATTTAGTAAATCACAAACGACTGTAAAAGGCATGTAAATTCAGTGGTTAAAAAGAGCCGAAGCCTTGAAGCACATTCGAAATGCCTGTAATCCTGAAGTGTCGGGCCTTTGAATAAGGTGGAGAAGCACTGCTTTAAATCATCCTAGCGTCTGCTACTGATTATTCGATGATTATATCAGGATCAGCTGTCGTGCCTCGTGTGTCTTAAGTGTGTTTGATTTCCCTGTTTGTGTGAAATGTGATTCCACCACCCTTCCATCCATCACTGTGTTGTTGTGTAGGGTCAGATTGTGCCGCCCCTCCTCACTGTCCCCCAGTGTCTCCGGCTCTCCTCGTGCCTCATGGCTGCTGCGAGGGCCCTCAGCTCCTGGAGGATGCCATGAATGTGCCTCACCATCTGGGTATTGCACTCATCCTCTCAACCTCCCTCAGACCAAACTCATCTTGTGTACTTCACTCTGCCTCCATCCATCGAAGGAAACATGTTTCCAAACCTTCACACAGGCAGCTTTCTTCTAAGACAACATCTTAACCAAAATGAAACCTCATAAATAACTCATTTGAAATGCTCTTCATGAACAGGAACATGGCGTTGACACTAGGTTTAGTAGTATGTGGCTTTATTTATTTTTTTATGATTGGCATTGTCTGATTTCTGTTTGGCCGATGTGTCAGAAGTGGGACTTTTATTTTGACTGTGCCTAGGAGCTCCCATTCCCATCTTCATTAGCTTGCTGTCTCTTTGCAACAGTTCTGTCTTATTCATTCTTAGACAGAACTTAGAACAAAGTAAACAGTATACAAAAACGTTTACAATTGTTATACATATGTGTTTTTCCTTTACATTAAATTGTATGATTGTGTGATATAATTTGGGTCTTGAATCGGAGCAGAAAATCCTAAATTCATAAAGTCATGGCATTAAATGGTGCATATACTGCAACATTTAGTAGCAACTAAGCAACTTTAAATCAAGGTACATTTCCTAGATATGCAAACTGAAGATATTAAGTGAGTTTATGCTTAAAACAAGAATGAATATCTGTCAATGGAGTATAAAGGCCCGTTCACACCAAGCACGATAACTATAAAGATAACGATAAAGATATAGTTCTAAAAATCGTTCTCAATATTAAAGAATAGCAGAGTCCACACTACAACTATAACGATAACGATACAGAGGAACGATATCGTTGTGATCACTTTCAAAACGATTTTTTTTTTCAGCTGATGAACGATAAAACACTGACAGCCAATCAGAATCCATCCTGCTGTAACGAGCTCAAGAATTTAAAGCGGCAGACGCATGTGCGCTTAGATTAAACAGACGATATCGTTCGCTGGTGTGGACGCTAATATCGTTATCTTTATAGTTATCTTTATAGTTATCGTTCTTGGTGTGAACGGGGCTTTAGATTTTGAATTTTTTTTCTTTCTTTTTCTTTCATGTTTTAAGCATAATCTCACTTCATTTTTATCATTTTCTCATGAAACAAGTGTTTCTCAAGTACGTGTATCTTGATTTAAGAATCTTTAGACATTTGAACTAAAAACAAAGAACATAAAAACCCAAAAGAAGAGCTTTTTGCAATGTGATCAGAAGGTACAATAAAAGTTATTTCCATATTCTAGTGTTTTACTTAGTGTTTTATGAGATTTTATGGCTCATATAGTATGATAGAGTGAGATTGTGGAGCTCATAGGTCAGCAGGCAAGTACTTCAGACACAAACTGAGCAGAATTATGCAGTTTGTTGCAGATTATGATATTAATATGAGCAAAAAGTAAGATGAAATTCTGCTTGTAATGTAAATCGATGAGATCTTTATAGCAGTATAGCTTACATAAAACAATATAAATGTTAGTCATCAGTATATATCTGTAATAATATGTCTTAGTAAGATGATATTTAAATGCTTAGTTTTATGATCAAAACATATAATGCAATGCAATACAATGATGATTGAGAGATTTGAGACTCACATTTGAACAAGATTTTTTTCAAAAAAAAAAAAGAAGATGTATGGATAATCAAGCACCATTTATTTCTTATCCAAGTGCATCTTGCATAGAAAGACATTCTTCTTAAAAGTTCAGTTTTTACTTCCTGTGATGAACTCACTCTGTGCGTCTGCTCTTCTTTCCAGACAGCAGTGAGTTTCTGGCTGATGACATCAGCATCATCGCCGGCGGCAGTTTGACCGGTTGGCACGCCGACTCGGCCTTCGTTCTCTGGAGGAGGATCTTGGGGATTCTGGGTGATGTGAACAGCATCCGCTGTGCCCGCATCCACGCCAAGGTCTTCAGTTACCTCTACGAGCTCTGGCACAAGCTGGCCAAGGTTGGTTCTCTCCATTCCCTGCAAAGCCAGGATCACTGTTACCTTAGAAACTAAATGATGACGAACTCTTTCATAAACTCCTGTTTCAGATCAGAGATAATCTTGGGATCCGAGTGGATGCAGACACAGCCGTGGCCAGACCCTTGTTCATCCCTCCTCTGCGCATGCTGGCCTCCTGGCTTTTCAAGGTAACAAGATGTAAATCAGAACAGAATGATATAACTGTAACAGATATAGCTTTAATAATCATTCTAAATGTAAAAGAACAGCCACAGAGTGGAGTCCACACCACAACTATAACGATAATGGAATAGAGGAACTTCATATTTGGAATCACTTTCAGAATGATTTTTTCCAGCTGATGATTGATCAATAAAGTATTTAAAGTGGCAGATGACAGAACTGCAATAGAACGTTACCATGCACTGGTGAGGTTGCTAATATAGTAATCTTTATGGTTATCATTCTTGGTGTGAACAGGCCTTTATTGGGAATGCATCTGTATTAAATAAGCACAGCGTGTAGGAGAGAAGCAAACAGATGTAAAGTACTAGGTGGAATGCAGATATAGCCCAGTGATGTCATGAATATGCTAATTTGGGCGTGCTTTACTGTATTTACTCTGGAGCTGTTGTGTTGAATCGGAATAGGCAGATTGAATACTGAATGACTTATGATGTGTGTGTTCAGGCTACCATGCTGCCGTCAGAGTTCAAGGCTGGGAAGCTCCAGGCGTATAAGCTGATCTGTGAGATGATGACCAAACATCAGGACGTGCTGCCCAACAGTGACTTCCTGGTGCACCTCTACCACGTCATGCATAAAGGCTTCACCAGCGAAGACCAGGTACAGCTGATTCTGCATGCATGTTTTATTAAACCTGCTTGTGTTCTGTTCTTGGTTTTACACTTCTGTTTGGCACATTATCGATTATAAGCATATATGTGACGTGACATGTGGCCAAGTATGGTGACCCATACTCTGAATTAGTGCTCTGCATTTACCCATCCAAAGTGCACACACACAGCAGTGAACACAGCCATTTATGCTGCGGCGCCCAGAGAGCAGTTGGGGGTTCGGTGCCTTGCTCAAGGGCACCTCAGTCGTGGTATTGAAGGTGGGAGAGAGCGCTGTACATTCACCCCACCCCCCTACAATCCCTGCCGGTACGAGACTCGAACCCACAACCTTTGGGTTATGAGACTTCCTCCAAAGTCTTATACATACACACCAGGAAGGGACATGGCATAGGAGTTGTGGAAGCTCCAGAGGAATTCATAAATCATACTCGTCAAGAAAAAGTACATCCACCAATAAAGAGGGGTTTTAGACAGATTCAGTAACGAAGCTGTTGTTAGAATTTAATTGAAAATGCATTGCTGTATTGTTTTTCATTCTCTTCTCTTATTTTAAGAGATTAATTTGACGGTGTGCCACAAATTCTTACCTCAGAAAAACATATTCGGTGACCATAAACTCATTAATCAATCTCTGCACTGCTGCAGAGCACCGCTCCTAAAAGCACTGCCAGACCGCAACCGTGTGTGCATAAAAAAATACGCACCACATACGCACTGCAAACCAAGTAATGTGAACCTGGCGTCAGGAGAGCGAGCGAACATTGAATAGTTTAAACACTGGCAAGAAGTAAAAAGAAACAATTCAATGTATAAACTTTAGTGACGATGTGTCACTGCCTCAATAGTGCAAGTGACAATTTATGTGTCAACTGTGCAGCGTGCAGCTCGCTTATAGTGCAGATGCGATGTGATTTGAAGCCATTTGCATTCTGAGAGCGAAAGAGTGCGAGCACGGTGATTCACTCATGCTGTTTATGAATTGTACCTCACCTAAAGCATTATAATTATTTCACCCGCGCCGGACAGAGACTGAGACGGTGCCGCTGCATGTCGAGCCAAACTTCTCACGGCAGCGTCATCAGCTTGAGATCAGTTTTATGAGATCAGCCTTTTTAGAGCGTGCCGATCAATCATCCCAAAGCGATTATCGGCCGATAGTGATTGGTAGCCGATCAATCGGAGCACCCCTAGTCCTGCATTACCGTAGTTTCCGCCCTCAGCGAGTTGTGTTTGGTTGTACACGCTTGAGCAGCTGCAACGCCAACAATGCCTCAAAAACAATTGCGGTGTTCTGTGTTTGGATGTAAGACTGAACCTAAGAGTCTCCCAACATCTGAGCCACTGAGGACGCAGTGGATTACTTTTATTTCTGAAGGTAATGCGCCTCAAAATCATGTCGTTAAAGTGCTTAACTAACGTTTTAACCGTGTTTGTGTGCGTGCCGGTTTGGTAAAGTGCATAGCGAACGTTATCGAAGTATTTGTGTGAATGTGTGTTGCTCATCCGTCGTTGCAAATGAGCTGTGGAAACTCTACAAGTACATAAATGTATCAAATAACCATTCAGAGACGTCTTGGTTCATTCTCATAGGTGTGTCTGACTCCGGTTCATACATGTACAGCTGAACACCGGTTCTCTCGCTCTCAGAGCTACCGGCTATTTATTACTGTAGGTATGCAAAGCAGAGATGTATACGCCACGCCCTCTTCTGAAGACGGGGCGGGAATTTGCAGCTCATTTGCATTTAAAGTGATACACACCAAAACAGCTCTTTGTTAGACACACCCCCAAAAAATACATTTTTCACTTGTTATATATAATAAATCATCAGTGGGGTATTCTGGGGACACCCATGACCAATATTACATCTTGTAAAAAGGGGCATAATAGTTGCCCTTTAAAGTTTAGAGTTCACATCTTACAGGCGACAGTACAGTTTAACAGCCAGCCAACTGCAAAAACAATGTGAATTGGGTTGGATATGGGCTGCAATTCAAACACATCATTCTTTTCTGGTGCACTGAACATTTAATAACAGTTCAAATCATATGTACAACTATATGCTCTACCTCACAGTAGTGCAAGTACAATGCACAGTTCTCTGCAACCGTTGGCAAATTGTAAGCTCGCAAAGAGAGTTTATTGGATATCTTATAGATGCTCAAACACTGCAATAGATTGTGAGCATGGACAACAGCATATTTGAATCTACATCTAGTGATTCTGTAATTTGGCAAACAAAAAAGTTCATGTTTGCAATGTCAAGCTTAAAAACATGCAGTAAAAATGTTAGTTCTTTTTTATTTGTTTATCTGTATTTTAATTTACACTTTATTTTATGGATAATTAAGAAAATGGCATACAGTGTTTTTTTTTTTAAGGTTCAGTATGTTTTGGTGTCAATCATTTTCAACTTGTTTTCAGTTAAAAGTATGTCCTAGCAAATGCTGCAGTAAAACTTGAGTTGTGATATGTGTGTGGCGGGTTTATTGTTAGGTAAATTTGCTGATTTTTTTTTTTTTTTAATCAGACAATAATCGTACAGTTAAAAATTCACATTGTGACATTCCTAAGGGTGGGACTTGACTTTGACCATCGGACTGTAGAAAGTGCAGACTAAATGGGTGCCTGGCAGATTCTTGGATAGAAAGAACTAAAGTTATTGTTCTGCCTTCATTAGAGAAGAGATGTTGTTGTGAGGAAGCTGGGACATTAATGTATTTGACTGAAGATTAATGGGCACATATTTACTGTTAAAACAATAATGATGTGCATGTAATTAACACTGCATCATAAAATATGAATAAATAAATGAGCATTGTCAATTTTATGGTGATAAAGTTGCTGGTTCACAAATAGAATTACCAGCATATAATAACTCTTTGAGTCATTCATACATCAATATTTATTGCTGTATAATAAGTTTTATTGTTTAAAATAAATTATTAGTAGTGGTCGACCGATGTGGGTTTTTTGACAGCCAATGCCGATATCTTGGAAAGTAGGGTGGCCGATGGCCGATATAAAGCCGATATAATTTTATTTATTTTAATTTATATTTAAGAAATTTGAAATCATTTGAAAATGGATTAAAAATAATTGTGTAAAATAAACATACTTATACTTTACAAGACAAAGCATTTTTCACAAATAAATACATATTTAATAAAAATCAAATTAAAAAGGAAGTAAACACGGTAACCAACAGGGCACTCCGTATTCTGGGAAGTTTGTGTGAATATATATATATATATTTTTTATTTTCAAATAAAGCCAAGGTAACACTCATTTTACATACAGCACGCAATGAAAATGACATGAATATGACAGTGGGCAACTGCATAAAGTGCAGCATAATTTGAAATCACGAGTTTGTCGCGCGTCTCCAGTGAAGCTGAACTCTCCTCCTGTCAGTATTCAATTTGCACGGATCGACCGTCACACAGAGATCATGCAGGATACAAATGCACACTTCACAAGATCTCAACTAGATTCGACTAAGCCTGCAAGGTTTGAGAAATTAAATGTTCATTAGTCATTCAAAGATTTGTTTAAATTATATAAATGCGTGTTTGCTGAATGCTGACGGCAAACAAGAAAGTATTATAATGTTTGCCTTTCTATTACTAATGCACACTTCACAAGATCTCAACTAGATTCGACTAAGCCTGCAAGGTTTGAGAAATTAAATGTTCATTAGTCATTCAAAGATTTGTTTAAATTATATAAATGTGTGTTTGCTGAATGCTGACGGCAAATGAGAAAGTATTATAATGTTTGCGAACAAGAGGGAGAATGTGAGCGGTGTGCGCTAAGGCGCGGCTCGAACACATCGGCCAAACAGAAAAACTTATCGGCCGATGACGATATTTGAAAAATGCCAAATATCAGCCGATATATCGGTCGACCACTAATTATTAGTACAAGCATTTATTTTACTGTAATATAAAGGATGTGAAATGTTGTTCTATGAAATGTTTCTGTGCAGGAACCCTGATCAAACTGAAGCTGTAGATAATGATTAAACCCTTCTTTGTGCACCGCTATAGGAACAGAAAAGTCAACAAAATAAGAGCGCTGCCAACAGGTGTTGGATTGCTGGCTGGATTTAGTAAATACACACTGACCATCAGCACATTGATTTTTACCTCCATCGTTTGGAGTCATGTAAAGGTCACAAATTGAGGTATTTGTCTAAGAGCTGCAACACATCTAGAGTCTTCAGATGGAAAGGACGAATCGTGGCACATTCACCCATGTGGCTGTACATATAAATGTCCTTGCACTGCTCTGACAATTTAAACCGTTTGGCCATGTTAAATTGTCACAGACACACATGCTGTAGATTCAGATTGTGCTTGCCGTATTTACCGCTGCATAATAGTCCCGCTTTGCAGAATTGCCGCTTCCTCCAAAATGCTCATTTTGGGAAATCACGCAGCAGGTTGGTGGTGCTTAATTACTACTGGTTGCTAAGCATTGCAAAGGTCAGTTATTGCAGAATGAGGGTAAAATGTCCCTGCAGATGCACCGCTTCCACCAATTTCACATCTCCCTCTCAGCGGGACTTTTTTATGCTGCTAGGTTTTCTAGATTGTTTTTCTTTTTTTCTTCGTCTGACAGTGTTTACAAAGGATTCAATTAAGGTAGATTGAATGTGAATGTGGCCGTTACGGAGCAGCCGTGTTTGTTTATGCATTTGTTTGTTTGTGCACATGGCACAGTGGTTTGTTGATGTGAGAGAGATGAAATGGTTGGTGGTTTATAAAGCGGGTAAAGCATACACTGAGTTATGTAATGATTCACACCGTCAGATAACTTATGAAGTCTAGAGATTGTGCCTCAAATTGTTGTATGCGGTTAACCCGAGTTTCAATCTGTCAGTACAAAATGGTTTTACTGTACATTTTTCAAATACAAATTTATTGAGAGTAATTTTGCTTTGGCACACTTTCACTGCATTACATTTCATTAAAAATCTTGTTCTTCATTATTTTGAAGTGAAGACATCCACTCTGAAACGCAATAGCTATCTTCCAATTGTGATTATTAATCTGTACCGAATCACAGTCAGTGATTCATTCATGAATTGATCCGAACAACTCATTATCTAGTCAAAGTGAGTCAGTTACCAAGGCACTGAATTGTTCATGTCTGTCTGACTTGTGCTTGTGTTGAGCTTGAGTGTGCATGTGACTGATGGTGTGAAAAATAAGTTATTAATTCTGGATTTTAGTATTGATGATTACATGACTTACATATAGGGCTGCACGATGCGCATCTTGTCAGAAAGCCGGTTCTGTAATCAGCGGTAAATCTCCCATCACCTGTGGGTTTTCACATGGAGCAGCATTAACTACACAGAGCCGTTGTTCACTGACGAGCTGCGCAAAAAATCGCGCGAATATGAACGTGGTTTTGCGCAGCTTGTCGGTGAACAACGGCTCTGTAGTTAATGCTGCTCAATGTGAAAGCACGCAGGTGATGGAGATTTACCGCTGATTAAAGAACCGGCTAAATATCGCATGCGATTTATCGTGCAGCCCTACTTACATATTACATACTTGAGTTATTTGTGAACTACGCAGGTTGTGTAAACCCATAGCATGAAATGCTTGATAGTGGACATGTCCACATTTGTATGTAAAAACAATAAATAACATAAAAATAGCAAAAATTGATGCACATGCTTCTTTCCTGCTGTTGTAGCAGATTCAAGTGATATAAAAAAAAGAGTATGATTGCATAAATTTTTTAAAAATGTTAACACACATTGCCCCATGTGACTTTTTTTTTTTTCAATTTTAAATTAGTGCTGTCATATTCATATATATATGTGTGTGTGTGTGTGTGTGTGTGTGTGTGTGTGTATGGATGTATATGATTTATATTATACATAAACAGAAATGTGAATTACATATATTTCTTAAATATATACATGTGTGTAATGTATTTACATATAAATATACAGTGCACACACGTACTGTATATTATGTAAACACAAACTTTTACTTTGGATGCGATTAATCACGATTAATTGATTTGACAGCACCATTTTAAATACCATATGGTATATTTTGTTATTTTCACTTGTTTGCACACTTTGCAGTAAGATAAATCGCTATTATAGTATATTAAAGTTTAATGTGTTTATAGTGTATGTTTTGGTGATAAAATAGGATGATACTTATGTGCAGATCAGTACATAATCAGTGTCTTCATCCATCAGTCTTCCTTATTGTAGTATGACGTACAGTGGGGGAAAAAAGTATTTAGTCAGCCACCAATTGTGCAAGTTCTCCCACTTAAAAAGATGAGAGAGGCCTGTAATTTTCATCATAGGTATACCTCAACTATGAGAGACAAAATGAGAAAAAAAATCCAGAAAATCACATTGTAGGATGCAAATTCTCTCATCATAAACAACAAACTGCTGATGTACGCATGATGTAAGAGATTAATTCATAAAACCTTGTATAGACTGCTTTACTGATTATAAGGAGTTTTTTGAGAGTGCTAAAATTCACGCTAGACTTATGTCAGTCATAATGTTTTTTGCTCGCATTCTCTGTATAATTTATTCTCTGTTTGAATAACTATAGAAGGTACAGGTTATAAAAAAATTTATTCATTACCTCATCCGTGAACATCCTCCTTCATAGCGTCATCAAACTTCGCCTTTGTTATTGGTTTGAAAATGTGACCTCTAGTGGTGAAAACTTACGTATTGTACCTTTAAAGCCATTATCGGCCGATTTCGATATCGGTCCGATAATATCGTGCATCTGTAGTTTATTAGCCTTAATATGTTGCCAGATGTATTAGTATTAACTATCTTTGTCATGCTTTCTATCTGTAGGACTACCTTGTGAACATCCTTTTGAAGACGGCACGCAATGAGACATGTGAAGGAGCCAGGTACTGTACAGCCCGATCATTCCTTACCCACCGCTCTCCCGACTGACAGATCCAGGCCACTGAGCCTTTTGTGTAGTCATCTTGCGTTCATTTCGATATTTTATTTTGTTCATATTCAAATGTCATGCATGATTACAACCACACTGATATATTTTACATTGTGAATGATATGAATGGCTGCTAACGATCAGCCTGTGTTTTCACCTTGTTTTAGGTGTGTAGCGATCTGCAGTCTGGGGCTGTGGGTGTGTGAGGAGCTGAGACAGACAGAAACTCACCATCAGGTCAAAGATGCCATTAACGTCCTGGGCGTCACGTTGAAGGTGATTATATTTGATCTGTTCTTCACTTTGAAGTGGTATTAGTCTCTTCTACTAGTCTGTATTAGTTGTATTGATTTGAGTTAATAATTCATCCGTTTTGAACTGTATCTCACATCTCACAGCAGAGGAACAGGGTTTCATCTCTAAAAGCATGTGCTGAACTGTTGGGAGGTTATGTGTGGCTGCCTCTCTTCTATTACTCTGAGAAAACACTCACTCTCTCACCTCAGATTCCACATGAGCCCAGAGCAAGAGAGAATTGTGGGTAGAGCAGTAGACACAATCCATTAACCTGGGATCTACCCAGCAATGTGTTTCTCTAAAATAAGTTGGTGATAAATAGAAATAACAAACATAGAAATAGAAATGACACAAATAATCATGTGTGTTGTAATTAATGATGTGCATATATTATTTTTCAGTGTCATTTTTACAACATCATGTCAAAAAATACCATGTTTTATCACTAATACTATTATCGCTAATACCAAAGGATATTGACAAAAATTGGGGACAACTGTAAAACCTTATAAAAGATGTTTATTATTAAAATGACTTTTCATATATATATATATATATAAACTATGAACTATAACTATAATTCAAATAATAAATCTATATAACTATAATTAAAATATAATCAAATTAAATGGTACATTTGAGTTAAGAACATTGCAATTGTTTTCTCTGATCGTTTTCAAAGTGGAATGATCAACAAGGCTGTGCTTATTTGATCAAAAATACAGTATAATTGTGGAATATTATTGTAATTTACAGTAACTATTTTCTGTTGTAATATATTTTAAACTGTAATTTATTCCTGTGATGTAAAGCTGAATTTTCAGCATCATTACTCCAGTCTTCAGTGTCACGTGATCCTTCAGAAATCATTCTAATATGCTGATTTGCTGCTCAAGAAACATTTCTTATTATTATCCATGTTGAAAACAGATGTGTTGCTTAATAGTTTTGGATTCTTTGATTAATAGAAAGTTCAAAAGAACAGCATTTATTTGAAATAGAAATCTTTTGTTACATTATAATTGTCTTTACTGACATTTTTGTTCAAATAAAGGTATTAAAAAAAACTTTTGAACGACAGTGTATATTTTTAAAAGCACAAGAGGTATAACCATATCTGCTTAGCATTATGTCAAATTCTGCATATACATAAGTTAAATTAAATGTCTTTCTTCCTGATCATGTTCATTTAGTGAAAGCCTTTTTTTGTTCATCTTTTTCATTTAGTCTGGACTGTAACATGAGAGTGAATGTAATTTTGTCTTTTTCAGTTTGGAAATAAGGTGGTGGCCAATGTGGCCTGTGACATCTTTCAGCTGCTGATTTCTCACTGGCAGCACTTACAGAGACTGGATCCGTCCCTTCCCAAAAGAATTATAGAGGTACGACCAATCTCCATCAGTATGATACATCTGTTGCAGTATTGTGTAAGGGACGCCTGCTTAATCGCCACTTTTCGTCTGTTGTAGATTTTTGTAGCAACCATAGCATTTCTTCTGCCCAGTGCTGAACACTCAACAGTTGAGGCAGATAAAAAGGTAAGCAAGCAAAACATCTCTGTTTGTGTAAGCAGTGCTGGACATGGGAATTCAGAATGAGCAGCACACGGCACTTCATTCAGTCTCTCTACTCGTTGTTCCATCCTTCCTAACAGCTTGTCTACGGCAGGTTTATTGATTGTTTTGTAGTCATGTCAAGAGTGTGCTGAATGAATGCTTTCTCCGTGCGCTCTAGTTAATGGTGTCTCTACTGCTGTGCCTGCTGGACTGGTGCATGGCCGTACCTCTCTCCATCCTGCTGGAGCCCATCACTATGCCTGTGCTGGACGACCCAGCCTCGCAGAAAGCCCCTCTACTCGACTACATTTACAGGGTGGGTACAGGGAGTTAGTTACTTGAAATTAACGCAGAAATATTCCAGTGTATGTGTGTGCGTTCTAATATAAATGCACTCATCCCCCCAGAGCTCATATTTAGTCATCAGACACTAATGAGAGGGCATTGAGGGGCACAGAATAAATGAGATATTAGTCCCGGGCTGTTGTGCAGATGCAGACAGACACAGACCTTTGTGCAGATGTCATGCTCCCAGAAAAAAATGGCCAAATTATTTAAATGTCCCATTGTTGGATTGATAAGCTCACCAATGAATGCTGAACTCAAGAATTCAGTTCATCATCATATGAGAGAAAATGCACCTGCTGCAAAGGGGAAGAGGAAAGAATAAATGTCCTTTGTTTTCCTCTGCACTCGTTTGACTGTTAATCATTTTCCGCTAGTTATTATATGCTCAGTGGGATTACTTTAATCTCCCATTTGTCAGAGCTGAATAGCGTCTAGCACAAGCACATGTACATAACCCTCACTAGGACAGCAAACCAGTACTCACGCGTTCGAGTGCCGTGTCTCAGTTAAGTGCAAGAAATAATGATTAGCATCTCAAGCCTATAGTACTACTCAAATAATAATTGGTAATGACTGTTCTTTAATGTTATGGAGTCTTGGTTCATTTATGCAGCACCGTTTGAGAAGTGCCACTTACTACATTTATAGACTAATGAAAATCACTCTGAATCTTTAGAACCGACAAATCCAGTTTAACAGTTAGAGTCATGAATTTTCCAGAATTTGTTTTGTTTTTCTCTCATCTTGTCACTATATGTCTGTTTTATACTGTGCCAGTTTGTTTCCTTACAGGAAAAGCAGTCAGTTTATGGCTTAAGAAATTTCTGCCTTTACAAGTAAATATGGCCTGACTGAAGTCCATTGTAAGATGGGCTGTTACTGATTTACATTTAGAGATGATCCATCACACCTTTGAATGACCCGTACCTCTGATTTATCAGCAGTTTCCATTTGAGCCAGATGACACTAGTGGCTCTATGGTGTTGATTATGTGGCAAAATTAAAGTTCTGTGGTTTTAGTTTTAGGTATTTTGACAACATGAATGTATATCTGATCGTGATTATGTAGCATGCAGGGTGGTTGTTTGCTGCGTGAGTGTGTGGTGTTTGAGAATGAGCCAAGGGATAAAGCCTTAATTAAATCAAACAGAGCAAACCTGTTCAGGCACTGTGATAAACTGTGCTGGACTGTGTCTTATCTTCTCCAGCCAATAGAGCCATGGCCATCTGTTTTTGCACATCGATACACTCCCATATCACTGGAGAAATAGATTATTAGCCCATAAAGCCCCTCTCGCTGGGTTTCCTGGCTTAGCATTGTAAATATCGTCCCATCTCCATATGGCGGCCCTGTAGCGGTCAACCACACCGTCTGGGTGTAACAACAATGTTTCAATCTATTACAGATTCCTTTTTAATGCATCTCAGTGGAGTGCCAAGAAGAGCATCTTTATGGCTGAAGTAATCTCTGAGTTGTTGATCCTAACAGAGCTCGCTATTTGACGCATTCTCATTAGACTTTCAAAATGCATTAACATCTAAACAATGCCATTAGTATCGTATGCATTACATTTTGTATTTGTAATTCAATCTAGAACAACAAATAATGCAGCAATAAATCATTTCACTTTTTTCTGAAGGTGTTCCCCAGGGTTCTGTATTAGGCCCACAAATCTTTTCTTTTCATTTAATTTTATTTATTTTTCTTTAGCCATTCTTTTTGTAGTGTATCACCGGTGTACTTAATTCACTGTTCTGCTGTCTTAGGTGCTGCACACTTGTGTATCAGGGTCTAATCTGCACACTCAACAGAGTCACTACCTCCTCAGCCTTGCTGATCTGTCGACAGACTATGAACCCTTCCTTACTTTAGGCAATGTCAAGAGCTTTGAACCATCGCCCATACACAATGTCATGGGAGACTTCGGAAATCTCCTCACTGTGGCTGAAGGTAACTTTCTGTTCATTACTCCACTTTCTGTTGTGCTTTCAGGAGGAACATATTGAGTGCAGTTAATCTTATTGCAGTTGTGTTATGTTGTTTGTTTACAGCACGTTATCTACAGCGTGCCTAGGGAAATGTCATGACTAATCTGTCATGAACTGTCCCGAGTCATATTTCACCCCAAAATCAGAAGAAAGCGGAAAGGGCCTGTTTTTAAGACCATTAACAATGTTTGCATCATTTTGCACTTTTAAACCACCTCACGTCAGTTTTGGGAAATACTTTTTTTTTTTAAATGATATTATTTTTATTATTAAAATTATTTTTTAATTTATTTATTTAGCCTTTTTTAAGGCGATTTGTAAAATACAGTTTTTGTTTACATCATGGTAGTATTCGTTATATATAGTGAGATTAACCATATTTCATCACCTTAAATATTCATTTTTGTTTAGTTGTGTCATTAAACCTTATTAAATGTAAGAATGTTTGCTTCACATCAACACAAATTACTCTTTAATGTCTGTAATGTAAAGGCAATTTTGACTAAATTTACTTTGTTAACTTTTTCAGCATTAATTGTGAAACCTCTGCATCTCCCTTGAAAAGCAAAGAAAGTACAAAACATTTTTAATTTGTCCTTTGAGTTCTTATCCTGAGCTCTTGTGAATCATATTAGAGCAAATGTAGCACAATGTGGAATGAAATAGAATTTTAAAGAGGTGTGCATTAGTTCCCTCATCCACTCAAAGCAAGCCCATTTATGCCAATTATTAAAGAAATCATTTTTTCCTCCGACCTTGCTTCATCCATTAGGCAATATTTCTTGTGTGTTTTCTACCTTGGCATGTCATCAAATGTCATCTGTTTTTAGTTGGGGTGGGGTTGGGCTGTGGGGTGGGTTGTTCTTTCCTCTTTTAACAGGGATGCTTTTTATGACAGTACATTTATATCTGTTGAGTAGAGGAAGAAAAAGAATGCTGGCTTTTGCAGCGCAAACATCTCCATCCATTGACATGCCTTTTATATCTCTGCGTACGAAAAAAAAAAAAAACTCAGCCAAAGAGCAACTCCTAAGCAATATTCCAGTACCTAGCTCATATTGATTAGTTCACTTCAAAGCTCTGTGCATCCCTAATGCAACTTGCTCGTCTTTGCAAAGAGCTTTTTCCACTTTGATGGAGATGATGGTATTGATAGCACTGTCACAATGTGAGCACTTCGGGGTTTTTTCCCCCCTTCTCTCTCTCTCATCTTAATCTTAATATCCACTAATGACAACGCTAGATTTCTCACTTTTTGAGAGGTGTTCAGCATTCAGAGGACTTTAATTCATAGTGCTTGCAGAGCCCTATTCACTCATCACGAAAGGTGTGATGCTCATTAGTGCATCCCTTTGAGTCTGTTTTAGGAGAATGAATAGATATTTTAAAGGTGTCTGGGTGGACACCCGTGTACATGGTGCAGATGTGGAAAAATGGCCTCCATTGGTCATGATAGCTAAAAGACAGTATACCGACCAGCTTTTGAGAATAAGTATGGGAAAATACTGAACACACTCAGCCAGTCAGGACTTGTATTACCCTCAAAAAGTCAGTCATACAGCAGTCATTATACAAAAAAGATTTACCTGATTGTGTTTTCCAATCAGAATCAAGTATTCCAGAGAGATGTGTAATCATTTGTGATAATGGCCAGCTGACTGTAAATTATCCCACTTACATGGCGACTTACCAAGAAATGAAATATTAATTTCAGTTGAAATAGCTTGATTATGTGAGAAGAGAGTTCAGAGTGATCTGAGAAAAATAAAAACTAGCACAACTATGTAGGGAAAGGATTGCCACTGACAACTAGTGGTTGACTAATATGAATGTTTCAGTGTCTGTTGCCTATACTAATATGCACATATCAGAGTGCCCAATATAAGACTTGATACACAAAAAGTTCAACTGAAAACATTTTTATACATATTTACTAAAAAATGAAATAGAGATTGCAATACATTGATTAATTGAGCAATTGGACATGACATTAAAACAGCCAGATTATAACAACCCTGCAAATAATGGCCACCTAATTGGTCTGGATGACATATTGGTCTGTCACTAGTGAAAACTGTCAGCTGACCTGAAGAGTAACACAACTGACATAACCGAATCACATATCCCACAGAGTCGTGTAATATAACAGGGTGATGGGCAGATTTCTACATAACAGTGTTGAGGCAGTACAAACTTCATTATTTTACATTTAAACGGATAGTTCACCCAAAAATGAAAATGATCTCGTCACTTTACATGATGCCCAAAGACTTTGGTTCACCTTGGAAGCACAAATGAATATACTGTCCCTCCAAATGTTGATGCTTCAAAAAGTTCATAAAGAGATTGTAAAAATATTCCATATTAATTGAGCAGTCCAAGTATTCTGAAGAGACACAATCACTTTATATGATGAACAGGCACATACATAGAGCACATCATATATCAACAGAAGCTCAGACGTGCTTAATTGACACACAAGAACCAATGAGGTTTGTTCTTGCTCATCAAGCAAGTATGATTGAGCTTCCAATTACCGTATTTCATGTGCTCTATATGTGTATGCACCGAGCAATGTTTATTTACATTTACATTTAGTCATTTAGCAGACGCTTTTATCCAAAGCGACTTACAATTGGGGAATACATAAAGCGATTCTTCTTAAAGAGGCAAACAGACACAGGAAGTGCTTGAAATACCAAGTTTTAGGCGTTGTTCAAATAAGTATAAGCTAGAAAGGAAAGGAATAAATAAAGAGAAATACATTTTTTAAGATGAAGTCAAGTAGTGTTTAAAGAGATGAGTTTTCAGCTGTCGCTTGAAAATTGTCAGGGATTCAGCATTCCGGATAGGGGTGGGAAGATCGTTCCACCAGCCAGGAACGGTGAACGAGAATGTTCTGGAAAGTGATTTTGAGCCTCTCTGTGATGGTACCACGAGGCGTCGCTCACTAGCGGATCTCAGACTTCTGGAGGGGATGTAGATTCGTAGTAGTGAGTGGAAGTAGGCGGGTGCTGAGCCTGTGGCTGTTCTATATGCAAGCATCAATGTCTTGAACTTGATGCGAGCAGTTTATATGTGAATAAAAGCCTAAATGACATCTGTTTTTCATATAAAATGATCATGTCTTTTCAGAAGGCTTAGTTTAAACCACTCGATTCAAATCAATTATGTTTACAGTAGAATAAATATATTACTTTTTGAACCATCAAAGTTTTATGGACTCAAAGGAGGGCCGCCATAAATATCTCAATCTTCACATAAAAAAATTCTTCATTTGTGTTTCGAAGTTGAACCAAAGTCTGATTTGTAACGACTTTAGAGTAATTATACATATACACACTGTAAATACATCTTATTTTTTCATTTTAATATAATTTAAGGAATTGGGTTCTTGATAGTCTGGTGCTTTTAACATGCATAACAAAACTATATAAATATTATACGTTTACTGTGTAATATGTGCTATTTATTTGCATTTTTTTTATTTGAGCTGCATGGGCTCTTTTCTGTATTTTACTGTTATATTCTCACTTTCCTTTTCCTTTTCTGCGGCACCTTTCTCGGGCACATGCACATTAATTATTCATGTGCATTGTCCCTTTTTAAATAAACAAATAGATCAAATAAATTGATGACAGGATTTTCATTTTTGGATGAACTAATCCTTTGTGTATACCTGTAAGCCAGATGTTTTCTAATTTACTAAACTTGTGTTGTTTCATATCCCAGAAAAGAAAAGGAGAAGCCTGGAGCTGATTCCTCTGACCGCTCGGATGCTAATGACACACCTGGTCAATCATTTGGGCCACCATCCTCTCAGTGGCGGCCCTGCCCTCTTAAACAGCCTGATCAGCGAGAACCACGACAACCCCTACGTAGAGTCTTCTGAGCTCTCCTCTGAAGTCTTCAAAAGCCCCAATCTACAGCTCTTTGTCTTCAATGACAGCACACTAGTCTCATACCTACAGATCCCTTTTGACAGTTCCAGCACGGCCCAAGTAAGTGCCAACCCGAGGGATCATTCCTCTGAGGTCCGCGTCATCGTCAGGGACATCTCGGGAAAGTACTCGTGGGACGGCGGTGTTCTGTTCCGCACTTTGGACGGAACTGGCTTGAGTTTGGGTGGCAACAGAGATCAGTTGTCACACGACGCCACTCACTCTGTCCGCTTCAGTAAATGCTCCTCTGAGCTGGAAGTGGAAGATGGCGTGGATGTGTTGGACCAGCTACTGGAAGACCTTGGCCACAGCAGCCCCGAGTGCCTGCCGCAGCCCCAGCTGAGGCTCACCCAGCCGCCCTCTCCACCCATCGGCATGAACCCTGAGATGGAAGGGCTCATCATGGATGCCATCCACAGACAGGCCAAGCAGGAGGACGAGGAGCTGGCCAGACGACAGACTGAAGACCCCAGCATCAGAGCAGAGAGACAGAGAGAGCCCACGCAGCACGAGCCCAAATCTCCTTTTTTCCTCTGCAGACTTCTCCTCAATGACCTCGGCATGAACTCATGGGATCGCAGGTACAGTATTTCATGGGAGTTGCTGGAAAACACCAAATGTATAGCACATCCCAAAATGAAAATGCAGTCACCCGCTTCCAAAGCTGCTCTTTTCCACATCAGTACTCATTGGTTCTTACGATTCTCGAGACCATTCTTGATGCAAAATTTGAATGTGTGTGAATGAGATTTGAGAACTATGGTGGAAAAGACGACTTTGTGTGAATACCTGAAATTTCGGTTTGCTGCCAGTGTTTTATAAAAAGGTACAATAAATAAATATGTAACTCATAGAATTAGATTTTTAACAAGTTTACAATCAGTCACATAGCTACAAATATACATATTTCAAATCTGCATTTATTTGATCAAAACAGTAAAAGTACAGTATAAATAGTACAGTACAGTAAAAATGGCAATATTATGAAATATTATTTCAGTATTAAAGAACTGTTTTCTATGGTGACGCATTGGTGCGACATGCATATTATTTATTTTCCAGTCAGTTATGTCATAATAACGAGATATTATAACATATTTTCTCGTAATAATATGTTATGTCATTAAAATGAAATTTTCTTGTAATAACGAGATGTTATGTCATCAAAATGACATTTTTCTCATCAAAATGACATTTTCCCATAATAACGAGATATGTCGTTAAAACTACATAATTATCTTATTAAAACAACACATTTTCTCATAATAATGAGGTTATGTCGTTAAAACAACATCTTTTTCTCGTTAAAACTGCATAGTTGCTCGTAATAACCAGATGTTATGTTGTTTAAATTACGTAATTATCATGTTAAAAATGACATTTTTTTCTCGTAATAATGACACGTCAAAATGTTTTTCCCGTTTTAGAAGATATTAGCCTATACATTGTGACATTATGTGAGCGAGGCGATTGTCCACGCTGCTGGTGTCGCCACAGTCTTGAGATAAATGAAGATCTGCAGGAGGAATAATAGAAATACACTGTTTTAATGTTACTGTTTTTATTGTAGCGATATGCTTATTAGGATTAATCTCCAATCTGTCAACAATTTAATGCTATCCAATAATTGCACTCAGACCTGCCTACCTCTTCTGGTCATTTGATTTTCTTTTTAAAAAGTAATAAAGAGAAATGAGAAACTTTTTTTGTTTTGTTTAAAAAATTAAGATACATTTTTGTTAATGGTGAATTTTGTTCAATATTTGTTTCGCTTGTGTGGACGGCCTTGATAGGCTGCTTTCGTCTGATTTTAAGAATGAATAATTTACTCGTCAGAAATGATATCTTCAGCTGAATCAAGCCGCGCGTCGCATCACCTTTTTCTTTTGGGGTAAATTCCAGGCTTTATACTGTATGAATATGAATAGGCTGTGCTGCGTTTGCGTGTGACCACAATACAGATAATGAGCTCAGATGGGAAAGACTGTAGCTCTTGTTGGATTTATACGAATTAAACACAAAATATTTGTTTTCGTTTTGTTTTACTGTTTCACTGAGTTTCAGTTTCTGTTCACAAGATGGCAGAAAGCGCACCCTGTTATTTTACAAAAGCAATTTGGAACGTTTTGTTGTTATTGTGAGTGTACACAAAATAAAGCAGACATTTACATTTCTTTCCGCTGTTATCACAATGCAAGCGACGCGACAGCGCCGCCAACCCGAAAAGTGCAATGTTGAGCTCTATGAGATGTATATTTGCAAGAAATATAGCATATGCTACAGCCAAACAGTATGAAGAGTATAAACATTATTGTGACTAATTTGCAGAGCGGTAAATCAGGTGAACTCTTATTCTGTGTGAAGGGACAGAGAGTAAAGGCAGTTTCAGGGCTGCCCACGCATGTGGAAAAAAAAGATTAAACAAATATTAGAAATGTTAAAGTTTTTTTTTTTTTTGAACGTTTTGTTGTTATTGTGAGTGTACACAATATAAAGCAGACATTTACATTTTTTTCCACTGTTATCACAATGCAAGCGACAGCGCCGCCAACCCGAAAAGTGCAATGTTGAGCTCTATGAGATGTATATTTGCAAGAAATATAGCATATGCTACAGCCAAACAGTATGAAGAGTATAAACATTATTGTGACTAATTTGCAGAGCGGTAAATCAGGTGAACTCTTATTCTGTGTGAAGGGACAGAGAGTAAAGGCAGTTCCCACGCATGTGGAAAAAAAAGATTAAACAAATATTAGAAATGTTAAAGTTTTTTTTTTCTTTTTTTTTTCAGAAAAATGATAATAAAAAAGAAAATAGTCTTTTCTCTTTATTTCTCTTACGAAAAAACGTTTTCACGAGATAATTGTCTTTTTAACGACATCTTGTTATTACGCGAAAATGTCATTTTAATGAGATAATTATGTAATTTAAACGACATAACATCCCATTATCATTAGAGTATATGTTGATTCAATTTTCTCTTTATTTCTCTTACGAAAAAACGTTTTCACGAGATAATTGATCTTGTTATTACGCGAAAATGTCATTTTAATGAGATAATTATGTAATTTAAACGACATAACATCCCATTATCATTAGAGTATATGTTGATTCAACGATATAACATCACATTATTAAAAGAAAACGTGGTTTTCACAAGACAATTGTCGTTTTAATGACATAGCATCTCCTTATTACGACATAATTGAGTGGGAAAGATCATATGTGTGTGGCAGCAATGCGTCACTGTAGTTTTCTATTTGAATATATTTGTAAAAATAATAGTGAAAACAGTAGGAATCATTTATTCCTGTGATGGTAAAGCTGAAATTTCAGCAGCCTTTACTTACTATATTAGAAATAATTCTAACATGCTGATTCACTGCTCCAGAAACATTTCTTCTTATCGATAGATAGATAGATAGTACCTGTGCTCGTCTCATCTGATAATTTGACTAGATCAAGGGATTGTTTTTGTTAATTACAAAGACTCAATAAAGCATCTTCTGTAGATCAAGTCTGAGCCAAACAAATAATATCGATGTTCCTTTAATAAGAAAATAATAATGAATAACAGTCTCCACGTATTTATAGGTTTTTATTCTTTCACTTTGATTGAGTTAGGCTTGAGGACAGGTGGACACTTTCTAAAGTCCCATGTCTTTTGTTTTTGCCATTGTTTTTTTTATGATTTTTGGATTACTTAAATTGCTATGATAATGTTTGAGAGAGGAAGACCTCTGGCAGTTCAGACAATGGTTAAATAATATACTTTTCATAAATCTACTTTTATGGTGCCTTTTTGTTCTTTCTGAATGGAAAAGAGCAGCTTAGACATTCCATTAATTTTCTCTTTTATGTGATTTTGAGTAAGTAGTGAACATTTTTGAGTATCTTTTTTTTTCTTGAGGGCCTCTTTGCATATCAGAATATATGAGAATGCCACAAAATGTGCATGAGTTCTAAATATTTTAGATTTGTTTGTTTATTCATTTATATTTCTGGAATTGTAATTTTGAATCCCAAGCATGTTATGATACTGTGGGGTCACAGTGTTTACGATTTTCAGAGGAGTAAACCTGCAGACCTTTTTTTACTTTAGTTGAACTAGGATAGAAGAAAATATTTTAACATTGAAAAAATAATTACAAATTGAGTGATTTCGCCATTTATCTTTTGGAAAGTTATTCCTGGTTTTTATGACTGTTCCATTTCTTTTTCTCTTCGTAGAAAAAGCTTTCATCTTCTAAAGAAGAACTCCAAGCTCTTGAGAGAGCTGAAGAATTTGGACTCAGGGCAATGGTAAGGGTTTCTGCTCGTTTCTGATGTCCGTGCCTTAAAGTTCTATACAGATAATCACATACCAAGTAAATCAGCGACATAAAAACATAATTGTAACTTTCTGCCTGACTCCTCGGCACTTAACACTAAAAATCAGCTGCAAACAACAGCATGCATTTGGAGAGCTCAATCATGCAGCCTAATGCCAGTCTACAGAGAGTAGCTAAATCCTTTAAAAGCACTATTAAGGAGACATGTCTTAAGACCACTCTCAGATACTCCGCTCCTCACGGCCTAATCCTGCCCACGTCTGGCTGATCACAGCTCCACACTTCTCAGCCAACAGCGATCAATAGGCGCTCAGAGTGGCTAATTACAGAGGCTTATTAAAGAATACCCCCAGGATCGGGCCACCGTTACCCTCCGCATGCATAGCCGGGCCCACTCATGGCAACCGCTGACTGAGCGTGCCAAACATCACACTGCACGGGCATGACACTTCCTTAGCAACACTGCTCAAAGAGACACACACGGCTCACACATACGCACTGCATACCTGGATTTGATTTAGTAGGAAATAGCTGCAAAAATAAATGTATTAAAGTGTGTTTTGGTAAAAAAAACTATGTATGATTTGATGAGCATAACAGAGGTGGTGCCATGTATAGGCTACCGGACATCCTATTACTTACCTACATGTTTTAAGGAAATCACAACTGTTCTTTAGAGAGAGAACTATTAGCTATGAGTTCAAATGATATGAATTATTAACTTGCCAAAAGCATCATATTTTCCTCTGTTCCATATTTTGTGCTTAACTCTCGTACCACATGATGTCTTTTAACACAAAGGGAAGAACAATGTGACACCCAGGAATTAAGATCATTTAGACCCTTTTTACATTTCTGTTTGTATCCACATTTTAGAGTTCAAAATATGAAGCAAATATATTTTATTTATACATGCAATCTTATGCTAAAAATATAAGTAAAAAAAATGTCCTTTTATTTTAGCTAGTTGCCAAGGCAACATTTCTCATTTTCTGTTTGTTTAAAAAAAAAAACACTATAAATGCATCATTATTTTTAAAACAAATCTTATAAAAATGATGAAAACACAAGACAATTGCTAACAATGTTAATTAAAAGAAAACAAAAATATGAAAAAAATAATTCAATATATTAATAAAAATATATACTTATGTAGTATCTCAATAATATCTTAAGTCACTGTATTTGTAGCAATAACCAAAAATACATTGTATGGGTCAAAATGATACATTTTTATTTTATGCCAAAAATCATTAGGATATTAAGTAAAGATCATGTTCCATGAATATATTTTGTACATTTCCTACCATAAATATATTAAAACTTAATTTTTGATTAGTAATATGAATTGCTAAGAACTTCATTTGGACAACTTTAAAGGTGATTTTCTCAATATTTAGATTTTTTTGCACCCTCAGATTCCAGATTTTCAATCTCGGCCAAATATTCTCATATCCTAACAAACCATACATCAATGGAAAGCTTATTTATTCAGCTTTCAGATGATGTACAAATCTCAATTTTGAAAAATGAACACTTATGACTGGTTTTGTGGTCCAGGGTCACATATGCTAATAGAATTTCAATGATGCTAAAATAACACTGATCTAAACTCCATACCCCATAATGACAAAGCAAAACCAGATTTGTGAAAAATTTCCAAATTTATTAAAAAGACAAAAGTGACCTATCATATTGTGTCAGTATTCAGACCCTTTGCTATGGCGTTTGAAATGTAGCTCAGATGCATCCCATTGCGTCTTTGAGATGTTTCTACACTTTGATTGCATATACAGACCACATCAAACATGGTGGCACCTCAAATGTCGTGATGTTTTGCATGGTGTCGGTTCATCTTGTGTGTTTTTGTTACCAGTCGAGAGACGCACAAGATTGCCGTGTTCTACATTGGAGAAGGCCAGGAGGACAAATGCTCCATTCTGTCCAACACTGAGGGCAGTCAGGCTTACGAGGACTTTGTCTCTGGGCTGGGATGGGAGGTGAAATAACACATAAAATCCACTTAATGAGTCTGTAGTGCGCGGATGTCATGTCCTGGGACTATGTCAGAGCATCAGGAAGTTTCTCTCTTTCAGGTGAATCTGGCCACTCACTGTGGGTTTATGGGTGGTTTGCAGAGAAACGGCAGCACAGGAAGCACAGCACCATATTACGCTACCTCCAACGTGGAGGCCATCTTCCATGTGTCGACTCGCATGCCTTCTGACTCAGATGACTCCATCACAAAAAAGGTAGTTTCAAGCACCTCATTTCCTGCTTGACAAGAACCATACACATTACAAACAACATTCTGGTTTTAGATGGGTGATTTACTGATTGAAACTGGTGGAATGTTGTCTTAAAAAGTAGCATTTATGAGCATAATTTTTTTAAGAAGTTTAACAAAATGCCACTGCTTTGTCAGGAGTACAGGCTTTCCAGTCACTTTACATTCAGAGAGGAAATGAGAGAGAAAAAAGGTCACGCTCTTCAGTTTTAAAATGACCTTATGTTAAACCCACCCTTTTAGATACTGTTGTTATTGCTATGAAGCTTTCTGCATAAAACCATTGTTAAAACTAGAACTGCTGGGCACAAACAACAGCACCAGCTCCCCGCTATACAGTCGAGGCTGGAGTTTTACTGCACTCAAACAGCACTAACAATAACCTAGTTTCTTTTTGTTCATAATACAATCCGTCCACTAACCTCACGGCATCTAGTGATGGCATCTTAAATGCACGTGTTCCCGCTCGTACTAATTGGCACATACAATTTTGCTAAAATAAACCTTTGTCTCACTACATCATTAAATACATAAAATGATTAAGATCAAGAGTTAAACCAATAAATACAATGAATAGGACACAAAATACAAAACAACAAATACATCTGCACAAACATTTCCATAAATAGCTAAAAATGAACATTCCCCTTTAGGTTGGCGCTTCCTTTAAAGGCCACACCCACTCAGATAAAACAGGAAATAGAACCGTGAACCTCACATACAGTATGTTATAAACGAAAATCCACATGAACAGTAAGAACACGATAAAATACAGTATCTCTGCCACACGTGTGTTTTAAAAGGTTTTTAACATTTTAAAGAAAAGTCATTCAAAAAAGTGAAAAATGTTGTGTTTGTCATTGTAACTTTTTATTTCAACATTGCATGAACAAAAACAAAAAAACTGAGCTTTAATTTGTATAAGTCAGAGCCAATTAAATTTGTGGGTTCTGACATGTTGTTTTTGTTTTTTTTCTTAAAACCAAAATTTTATGAGAATACTGCGACATAAATGTTTGCTTACCCCTAAAAACACTGTTATCCGGTTTAAAATGGTGATTTAATGACTGCAGTTGGTCGTACAGATTTGACAGCAGGTGAGTGACACGCGTGTAGAGCGTGACTTTTGGAGCGTGCTCCTGATTGCACGGCTCTGTCAGACCGCTGAGAGCTGTGAGGCCGTGTCATCAGCGAGGGAGCCGAGCATGTGCAGGTTTAGTAACAGCTCTCACTCTCTGGACTCCTGTGCGCGCTGTGACCGGGGCCCCGATCAGCACATTAACTCACGCCGCAAGGGCCAAAGGCCTGCCGGATACCAGCAGGGCCCTGCTATCGAATTCCGCCCGTGTCGGCGGGATGGCGATCGACACGCGTTAGCAGGATAACACTGGCAAAATGAGCCGGTAGGAGCCTGCTTAGTTTGAGCGCTCAATCCGATCATGCACAGGCCTGCAGTGAGAAAAATTCATCAGGCTCCCGAACGTTAAAGCCTCTCACTGTCAGAGCTCATATTAGCCCATCTCAGCCACACTCCACTTCCTCTGTTCGGCATGGGAAGTGAGCGTGTGTGCCGCGAGCTGTGCTCGGTTCATTTTGGCCATCAGGCCCAGTAATTGCAGCGCTCCCGCTATGGCAGCGAGAGAGGGCGACTGTTGGGTGGCACGTGTGTGGGGAGGGGTGAAAGGGCTATTTTATCAGCCACAGGCAGACAGGAAGTAACTCCTCTAATTTACAAATGCAACGTTCAGAGGTAGCGAGAGAAAGGAGGGGTGAAGAGCTGACAGCAAGGAAAACAGAAGGAGAAAAAGAGAAGAATTCTTGAATCCAATTGAGTGCTGGGGGGCAGAACGGAGCAGAGCAGCTGGCTGGGCTAGTAATGCAGTTACTGGGAGGGTGTTGCCATGCGAGGCCACGGTGTCAGGAGGCAGCCGGTCATCCACACACACACACACACATACATACAGACACACACACTCTTTTGTTGCAGAGTGAGGGATGCTGCTTCTTTACAAGGCAGCGTTTAAGCTTCAAGGCATCTCTTGCTCTTCTCGGTGTCTGTGTGTTTACAGTCTGCATCTGTATGGTATGCTCTACACACTTAAAAATGGTTATTTTAAGAACTGCTCACCGAAAGGTTCTTTGGGATCCCAAAATGGTTCTTCTATGGAATCGCCGTGAAAGCCCCCTTTTGGAACCTTTATTTTTAAGAGTGTACTCACATGTGGCCACTAATGTTCTCATGTTTTCACGTTTGCTAATGCAAATGTAATTTTTTACTATTGTTAAAACATGTTTTGAGTATTTAAACTTGCAGTTACCCGGTTTGTGCCCTCAACCTGTTTAATCTGCGGATACCCTAATTGAACACTGTTTATTCTACAGACAGGAATGATGCTGCAAAGCATGTGGTTCAAGAAAAGGTATACTGTCATTTTGGTGGATGCTAAAATGGGTGAAAAATCCCAAAGCCTTTCATTGGTGGAAGAACCTGAGCCATATCTGGAGACCAGCACATGAGAAGGGCTTTGAGATGAACTCTATTGGCTTGTGTGGGAAGAATCCATCATCCACCCAGGGGCCGGTTGCATAAACTGCTTAGACTAGTCTTAAAGGGGTCATATGATGCTGCAAAAAAAACATTATTTTGTGTATTTGGTGTAATGAAATGTGTTTATGCGGTTTAAGGTAAAAAAAACACATTATTTTCCACATACTGTACATTATTGTTTCTCCTCTATGCCCCAACTTTCTGAAACATGTCGATTTTTACAAAGCTCATCGGTCTGAAAAGCGAGGTGTGCTCTGATTGGCCAGCTATCCAGTGCGTTGTGATTGGCCGAATATGTCAAGCATGTGATGACAATGTTACGCCCCTTGCCATATTGTGATGCCTTGTCCCGGCCAGAGCAACGAGACAAAAACATTAAAACCCATTATAAACGAGGCATTTGTTGCATCCAGTGGGGACATAGTTACGGATTATAATGACTTATTCTGTCTTTTTACGCGTTGTGTTGCATCGCGCCGCGTAAACATAAAAGCATGTCTGCATTTGTGATCGGAGAAATGACAAACAACAAGCGCTACTCTACACTGCCCAAAAAACTCGCATTTGAATCATCAGTGGCAAATCCTTTAAATATGAAAACGTACTTACAGGCTGTGAGTCAGAACAGCCAGCATTGTAGTCTACTCTACCAGGATCAGGAAACGGTCCTCCATAAAATGCACTGCACACATCTGAATATTTGGGTTGAACTGTTCTGGAACAGTTGTAAATACAACTTAACCAAAGTTAGTTAGTAGTTAGTCATCTAATTAGTTTATTTCAAGACTTGTCATAATTTTTTTAAGTCAGTTAGAAAAAGGTTGGCCCAGTTTGAATAAGAAAAGTAAGACTGATTACCTCTTGGCTAACTGCTAGTTGGTCAAATTAGTTCTTAAGACACATGCTGCGTCCCAATTCGCATACTATCTGTCCTAAATAGTATTTGAAATTAGAATTAGTATGTCCTAAATCATAGTATGTTGAAATTAGTATTCCAAAGGTACCCGGATGGTTTACTGCTTCCGGTAGAAATTCGAAGTGCAGATCCGTGCACACTCTAACGGCTAACATTGCCCACAACACTAGTGTTGGGTCGTTCTTGAACGATTCGTTCATTTTGAACAAATCTTTAATGTGACTCGGGAAGAACGAGTCATCTCGGGGAGTGATTCGTTCAGTCGCGCATGCGCAACATCCTATAGGTTCTGTACTGGAATTAGTCAAGTAGTTCACCTGGTTCAAGTCTTCGGGTTTTTCCGAGTCGTTCGTTCATCACGGGACAGCCCCATAAGCCCAAACCCGAAGACTTGTCAGATAAGAGGTGAGGTGAGCTAATCATAGACTGAAGACCCAGGTAAACAATTAATTAATCTTTTCTGTTTCTTATAGCAGTTTTGTATTGTTTGTAGTAATAGTGTGATCAACGTTTGCGTTAGTAGACGTGAAGTAGCACGTAACATTTTAATTATATTTTGCTAAAATGAACGAAATGACTCAAAAAAAGATTTGTTCATTTTGCTGAACGAGACTCAAAGGTCCGAGTCAGTCCGAACTTCCCATCACTACACAACACATTGCACGGTGGGCGAGGATTCGATTAGAACTACAAACATGCATGAAAAGTGTTAAAAAACTACAAACATGGCAGATATGCGAGACCGACAGACAGGTAGAGAAAGGGGTTTGAGGGATAAATAATCAATATATATATATATAACCTGTTGAAAAAAATATTTATTTAATGTTATCTACATTATATTTCATCTGCAGCAACACTGAGAACTTTATAATGACACGTTTGGTCATTAACTTTTAAATGAATCATTATGCAAACAAATAAGCAGAGTTCTCGGCATGATTGATCCGCAACTGGCAGATCAACGTGCCTCTTCATTTCTCTCCCAATACGGTAGGAAATTAAATTAAACGAAATATGGATAATGTTAATTGTGACAAGATGATTGACAGTGCAGTTTAAATGGTGACAGGATGTATGTAACTAAGCAGCGTCTGTTAAAGACGCAGTTATGACGAAGTAGTATATCTCAAAGCTTGCCTACTATTCTGCTACATACTCAAAAGTATGTACTTTTTCTTCACAAAAAGAGTATACTTTTAGGGCGTAGTATAAGTAGGCGAATTGGGATTCAGCAACAGTGTTAACATAGAGGCTATGTTTATGCAACTGGCCCCAGAATACTCTACCAACCTCATGGAGCATCTTAGCAATTCATAGCAACGCCCTGGCAACCACCCACAACAACTTCACAGGCACTCTACTTAAGCCTATTCTAAAGTTCAGGTTTCTTAGAGGTCTGCGGTCTTTAACATCTGCTCCCTTTCATTGAGAATGGCATCTGGCGTATGTGTACAATGTGTTGTGTATTTCCTCTCTCCGCCCAACCTGCTTGCATGCCGCCAATTCTTCTGCTGGCTCTCCAAATGGATCGGTATGTGCCGACCCAATCAGCTTGTTGTGGATTTGTTTAATTTTAGCCCATTAGCATAATTAAGGGCTTATGGGGAAATGTGGTAATTGCATTTTTGGTGAAGGGGACATGTTTTGGTAATGGCTCATTAGGCACGTGTGCATCGGCAGATGTTTAACGACCCATTGAGAGGCGCTCGCTTAAGGCCGCACCGTCGGAGCGACATGCTTCCAAGACTCCTCTTTTTTGATTACAGAGGTCACTTTAATTTCTCACCATTTTGGTAATAGTCCGCTTAATTTTTGTTAATTATTTGGTATGACGTCTTTATGGTCTGTCTGTGCTGCTTCTGTTGTGTTTAGTCTTTGACAGTAAATGATGCTGTGAGCCCCACAAAGAACCAGTTGTGTGTTGTATGAAAGATATTTTTTTATCTCTTTGTGTTTACATTACTAGGCTTGGATTAGGTGATATAAGCAAACATTTCTATCACGTTATTCTCAGATGGCTTGCTAAGAATAGATTCTCTAGTATACACTCATTTCAAATCAATGAAATTAAATAAATAGAAAAGGTCACATTTTTGTAGATTTATTCAGTCAAATACATTGTAAGAAAAAAATAATAAATTTGAATTTTTTTTATCCATTTCATTTTCTTCTCTTCAGCTTATTATTAAAAAGATTGGAATGTCCATTTGCATACCTGCAAACTCGTCACCTTTTGGGAAAAATTCTGTTTTGACATTGAAATAGGCCATCCACATGATTCGTGACACACAAAAATCCTCGGATTTGCACAAATGGCTTCAAATGAATGAATCTCTGAAGGGAACTGACTGTTTTATAGCATTTTCTGTTAATCTTACCTCAATATAATACCTAAAAGTAGTGTTTATAAGTGCAGTGTTGTTTCAAAACCACATTGCTACCAAAGCAATGTGTAGTTCAATTCAAACATCAGAATTTTGCAAAGACAAGTAGGAACCAGTCATTACACCAATTAGGTTTATTCATTTTTTTTATTTGTTTGTTTTGGCCATTAAATGTTGATGATTAACTGTTTGATATTTGGACATTTCAAGATTATTGCGAGATCATTAGCATTAACAGAAGTCATCGTTCCGCCTTTCAGCTCCAGAATGCTCTCTGCTGTCTAGATATCTGAATCAGAACTGACTCATACCGGTCGAGTACTAGAAACAGTTTCTACAGCTTATTGTTTCAGCGTGTCCGCCTGAATATAAAAGCCTTTACAGGATTGACAGCTAGTAGTAGCACCTCTCTGAACCCACTGCCCTGATATACATTTTTCCTCATGTACAACATTAAACAAATTATTGCTACCGGTGCTTCAACATTTAAATTACATATTAATCAGACTCTCAGCACCCATGTAGTTCATGTTCCTACGGTGCCAAAAAATAGCTTCCGAAAAATGCATTTCCTACAAATGTATGTATACTTTTATGTAAAATGAAAATCTGTCCAATTTTCTGGCTAAAGCCAATTTGTTTAAATGATTGAAACATAATGAACCCAGTTTCTGTAGCTCATTTGACTTCAGATGGAAAATTCCCAAAATAATTCCAGTTGTTATGTACTAAAATAAATGTACAGTCTTTCTGGAATTATTGTTGATCACTAGGAAAACGTGCATGTTTGTGAGATTGAGTCGTATTTATTGATGCCCACGGTACTTTTACGTTGTCTTTCTAAGAATTAGTTTTTCATTTGTTATTCAGTACATATGCACTGTGAAAATGATTATCTGTGATTGTTTTTTTCCCTGACGTGCAGCCCTCATGATGTTTCTGACTAATGTTGACAGTGTTTTGTTGGTTTGCGTGTCAGATTTATTAATGTGTTTTGCCTCTGGTTGGTCATAGCTTCGTCACTTGGGAAACGATGAAGTGCACATCGTGTGGTCGGAGCACACGCGGGATTACAGACGAGGAATCATTCCCACCGACTTTGGAGATGTCCTCATCATTATCTACCCAATAAAAAACCACATGTTCTTTGTTCAGATCATGAAAAAACCCCAGGTAAGTCCCTCGTCATGAAGACAATGACATTACGTTACATTAAAAACCACAAGCATCCACCATAACTCACCAGATTTTCATATATTACGTGAAATGCCTCTCCCGAGGCGTCTCAAGATCTTCATCAGGATGTGCGATGTTTTGCTGATTGTCAGGAGATGTAGATTGTGGCTGGAAGGGCTGGATGGTATCTCTTCCTGTCTGTTCTCTGAAAGCACTAATGCTGGAAGTCCATTACTGCACTGTCGGCACGCCACTCTCATCGCGGTCAAGCTGCCTTTCATCTTCCTCCTCCTGCTTCTGCCACTAGATCCCCAGAGAAACCGAGTGTGCATCATTTGTAATTTCTCGCAAACACGTCACCTCTACGAGACTTGGCTGCTGTGTGTTGAGTGGCCTGGATGCTGTCAGATGTATGGCTCCTGCAACATGTCGCCAGCTGCAATTAGTGAAATTCCCTCAGCTGTGTCACTGCTATCTGCTGTTCCACTCCAATAACTCTCATTTCATCCACTCGAGAAACGCAAGCCTTGGCAAATGGAAATGCTACATTATCCATCCACTAGATTCAGCTGTCCCGCGTATTGATTTATTTTTTTCCAGTCTGTTTGTGGCGTACATTTATCACATGCAACATCGGGTTGAGAGCTCATGTAAATTGATTGAACATTTCAAACTTAAAAAAAATCTAATAAATGTTTCTTTATTATTTGCTCTGTCTCACCCAGGTTCCTTTCTTTGGGCCTCTGTTCGATGGGGCGATAGTGACTGGAACGCTGTTGCCGAGTCTGGTGCGGGCCACGTGCATCAATGCCAGCAGGGCTGTGAAGTCTCGACTGCTGCTTTACCAGAGTTTGTATCCTTCACGTTTACGGTTGGTAACCAGTGAACTGAGAGATCACAGCGTTCCAATATCTGTATGTGATTTGGCGCTAACTTTCTGCTTGTAGGTAGAGCAGACTTTAAGTGTGTCCCATTCCACTGTGTAGTTGCCTATGCCGTGAATCTTTATAGTGAACATGACTTCCACTTAACATTGGGACACTGATATCTCAGTGATATGTGATACGATTAATAAGGTTGTTTGTTAATATGTAGCTAGTGTGTATCGACACCACTGCTTATAACACGGCACGAGCGATTATTTTTTGCCATTGTGTGTTGTTCTTTGTTGTTACTGTTAAAAGTACAGCTTGTCCATTTCTGGCAAAGACAGGGCATCATTTTCCGGTAAGTAAATGGTGTACAGTATACTGGGAATTTTTAGGTAGCAGAAGATTCAATACACTGGCCCTAGAAATGCATATTTTCTACTGAACCAGGGAGCAGACTGAATCAGACCCACTGTGGATGGTATGAAACTATGCTACCGTCCATAGTGTGTCTGATTAATTTTGAGTGTAAGTGAGGAAAACGGTTGCCTGACGACATAAATTTCACAGATTAGCGGTCAATTTTGACCAGTCAGGTATTCCTATAGCACTGTGTATTAAGTTTATTTAACACTTGTAGCGCTATGTGGAACAGACCATAAGTAGATATTGCCACATCATGTCTGATTTTTAATTCTGCTCTCCTGTCTGCAGTGATATTGCGTCAGTGTGATCATTATTGTGAGTGGGGGTGTGTGTGACTGTTAATTGTCTCTGGTGAATAGGGTGGGAAGGCCATTAAGGATATTCTGCTTTCACAGCTTTCTGCAATGACTTGATCTGTCTCTATGAATAATTGATCTGCTTTTTGGGTGCTGCTTCTACACCACCGTCTCTTATCTGTCCGTCACAAGAACATCTGCTCGACAGTCACCTCTTACATTCACACAAAAGTGCATTCTCTGTGTGTGTTTCTCTCGCTCACTCGTTCTGTCTTTTTCTGTCTCTGTTTGTCTTTCCATTGTTCATCCCATCTCTTTGTCCAAGTTTACAACACAGGCCTGATTCCAAATCATTTGGTTGTTGTTGTTGTTGTTGTTGGTTTGAGGTTGTGACATATTAAGTTTGTCCCATGTCAGACAGTGGCCTGAACAGACGGTGCTCCTAAGTTGAGCCACATACATAAGACAACAGTGATTAATTATGAGGGTAAAGAAACAGGGCAATTTTGTCAAGTCAGCACTAAATGAATATTCACCTTATCTATTTTTTAAATGCAATAATCATATTAAGGTTATTAAACCTATTGTCAGTAAACCATGCATATATATTTGTAATCAAAATGTTTCAATCTTCCGGTGACAGACTAGTGTTAATTTAGTATTATTTTTTTTATTAATATTTTAATTTAGCTTTTATTTTTATTTTTTTTATTTTCATTGTCGTTTAATTTTTAGAAATTTTGTTACATGCTTTTGTCAATTTTATTGGTCTTTGTTTTTAGTATTTCTAAATAGTTAAAAAAAAATCAATTTTGGATTCATTTCAGTTCATAATTTTAGTATTTCAGCTTTTATTTCAGTTCGTTGCAAAGGCAACATTTCTAATAAAATTTTTTTTAGCTAACGATAAAATTGAAACACACGTCTATTGTCTCCTCCAATCATTTAGTTTGCTTAAACTCCTTCCCTTTCTTACAGTCGATTGCAAACTCGCATTCAGACCTGCCTCCCAACATCTCAAAATCAAATCAACAATCGATGAGTAGAACCAACTCCCGCTAGGGCTGTCAAAAAAAAAATTGGATTTCGAATATTCATCGAATTTCAAATAAAAATCCACATTCGAATTCAAAAACGTTGCATTCGAATTTTAGGTGTGCATTAAGAAGGCAGCCTTATCAGTGGCGCACGAGATGCGATGACAATGTAAGTGTCGTTGCATTATAATGTTTTTGTTAGCCTATCAAGTTGAAGCCACTAGATGTGGCGCTGCTGCGTTGTTCATTAAAAATATTGCGGAAAAAGAGAACATCAATGCAGAGAAGATCTTGTTTACATCAAAACTTAAACCAAGCCATTCACACAGAACACATATTTTGTGCATTTTGCACACATCTATCACTGTTGCACTCGTGTCTCGCACAAAAGAGCCGCGTGTTTAGAAAGCCATGTAAAATTAATGCAAGTTTAACTTTGAAAAAAACATGTCTCGAGACTTTATGTCAGGTTTTTTGCACAAAAGAGCCGCGTGTTTAGAAAGCCATGTAAAATTAATGCAAGTTTAACTTTGAAAAAAACATGTCTCGAGACTTTATGTCAGGTTTTTTTCCTCATCCCACTGCATCTCATGTTTTTAAATGGAAAATGTACTCTGTGTGGTTGGCTTTCCGCCCTTTGTATTAAACTATGCATACGTACATGATGCTGTTTTGTTTATAGTTGTTTAAGCAACTTAATTATAAATGGTTTATAAACATTATTTTAAACATTATGCACTTTTTTTACACAGATAATCATGTTATCTTATGCTTTGAATAAACATGCATTAGTAATATTTAGCTCGATGCGCCCTCTTGTGGCCTCAGGAGAGAAGCCAAAAGCTTTTCTTCACCCTAACTGAAATTATGCATTTTAAATTCGAATATAATTGGAATTTTGATCATATTTAAAGGGGTCATATGATGCAATTTCAATTTTTCCTTTCTCTTTGGAATGTTACAAGCTCTTGGTGCATAAAGAAGATCTGTAAAGTTGCACAGACTGAAGTCTCAAATCCAAAGAGATATTCTTTATAAAAGTTAAGAGTCAGCCACGCCTACCTAAAACGGCTCGTTCTAACACGCCCCCACATGTCTACGTCACTATGTGGGAACATTTGCATAACGCTGTCCAAATGTTCACGCAACGAAAGAAGGTGTAACTTTTATTCTCGCTGTAGTATTGTTGCCGCCGCCATGTTGTGAAGGCGCTGTGTGCTTCCTTGTGAAAGCGAAACTACTTTGTTTGGCCTTCCAAAAGAGGACGATATCGCTTCGTCATGCCTGGAGCTGATCCGTGCTGGTTGAGTGGGGGGAGTGCAGGGGGGTTTCTCCTGAAGTCCACGGTCATCTCCACAGTTTTGAGCGTGTTGAGCTCCAGGTTGTTGAGACTGCACCAGACAGCCAGCTCTTTAACCTCCTGACTGTAAGCAGACTCGTCACCATCCTGATTGAGGCCGATGAGTGTGGTGTTGTCTGCAAACTTCAGGAGATTGACAGAGGGGTCTTTAGAGGTGCAGTCGTTGGTGTACAGGGAGAAGAGCAGTGGGGAGAGGACGCAGCCCTGAGGAGCTCCAGTGCTGATCGTATGGGTGCTGGATGTGTATTTTCCCAGCCTCAGGAAGCTGTTGATCCACTGACAGACGGAGGTGGGCACAGAGAGCTGAGTTAGTTTGGGCAGTAGGAGGTTTGGGATGATGGTGTTAAAGGCCGAGCTGAAGTCGGCCTTTAAGTCCACGAACAGGATCCTCACATAAGTCCCTGGTCTGTCTAGATGTTGCAGAACATAATGCAGTCCCATGTTTACTGCATCGTCCACAGACCTGTTTACTCTGTAGGCAAACTGAAGAGGATCCAGCAAGGGTCCAGTGATGTCCTTCAGGTGGTCCTTCTGTCCTTCAGGTCCTTCAGGTCTGCTTCATAGAGGAGAAACAATAATGGACAGTATGTGGAAAATAATGTGTTTTTTTAACCTTAAACCGCATAAACACATTTCATTTAGCCAAATACACAAAATAATGTTCTTTTTAGCAGCATCATATGACCCCTTTAAGTACAAAATTCGAATTTAGTTTTTGAGCCATTTTGACAGCCCTAACTCCCGCCCTACATGTTTCTCTTACTCTTATGTGCATACAATACAAAATGAAAAATCTGTCTCTACTTCCATTTCATCATGCACTTCAGTATTATTGTGTTTAATATCTTCAGGATGTCTAGAGCAACCTTGGACTATATATGTCAGGCTCTCAAAGGCAAACGACTGAAGATTGCATCAGTTTCATCCTGAATGTTCACACTGAAGTCACATTATGAAAAATCTGATACATATCAAGTTTTTTTCCACAAATGAAAGCAGCCCAGATTGAGTGTGACTTTAACCGTTTACACTCTCATCCAAAATCAGATCTGCATCACACATCAGGGGGGCAAAAAACACAGCAGTATGAATGTAGTCCTCTTTCTTCTCTCTCTTACAGACTGTCGATCCCCGTCAGGACAATGACCTTGCCTCGCAGTCTGAAAGATGTCTGTTTTTGTGTGGAGATGAAATCTCCTCTTGAGTTTTCTGCTTCACAATGGTCGGGGTCCCTGCAATCTTCCTGCTTGTTGTGCTTGGTGCTCCAGCGTAATTAGTTGAATATTTCTTCAAAGCGAGTCCTCGTGGTCCCTGCACAGGCTGATAAAAGCAGGTGTCTCTCTCTGGCCCTGCCGCAGAGATGGAGGGGCCTCCAGCGGGCTACACCATCACTCAGCTTTAATTGGATGGGTTTTGCTGAAATGACCACCAGTGCTTGGCATGGGGCACTACAGTCCACCCCCGTGCCCTGCGCTGTCCCACACCCTTGCCTTCTATTGTCCGTGTATGCAGGTGAATGTTCGGAGCTAATCTATGGATCTCTATCCCGCCTGGCTCTGGGATTATGCTTTTCCAAAGGACTTAGCTTGAATGGAGAGTCCCGCTCCTGCTGACACCTTTCACATTGCGCATAATGTGTCGTGATTATTGATTCATCAGCTGCTGCGAGTTTGAAGTGGGCCATGCTGAAACCCAGTGCAGGGAAACTTAGGATATATTACAAGATCAATAAATGAAGAAAATTCATCTTCAGCTGATACATGAGCCATTTGTTCCTCCATGTTTTCACTTTTGTTGTCATTCTTTATATTGCTTTGGAGCAGATTGGGCTCTATTGAAGGCATTGTTCACCCAAAAATGAGAAT